CGGAAAACTAAATCTTTCTGGAGTGAACCTTCCCGGAATTCTCCAACAAGGGTGTGCGTCGACAAAAGCATCTGTCCTGAGTGGGCGTGGAAAGGACTCTGTGGTAGAATTTCCTTCTCCTCCATCCGATTCTGACTTTCCGCCGCCTCCGCCTGAAATAGAGCTGCCTCTGCCCCCCATAGAGATTCCAGCTGTATTCTCGGGAAACACCTCTCCAAAAGTGGCCGTCGTCAATCCCCAACCACAGCCATGGTCCAAAACATCAACGAAGAAAGCCCCTCCACCCACACGACCCAAACGGAACGACAGCACCCGCCTCACTCAAGCGGAGATCTCTGAGCAGCCAGCCGTGGCCGCCGTCGCGCCGCAAGTGCCCACCTCCCCCAAGTCCAGCCTTAGTGTCCAGCCTGGATTCCTCGCTGACCTCAACAGGACACTGCAACGGAAGTCCATCACCCGGCATGGCTCGCTGTCCTCCTCCCGCATGTCCAGAGCAGAACCCACGGCCACCATGGATGATATGGCATTGCCGCCGCCCCCCCCGGAACTGCTTTCTGATCCACAGAAGGCCGGTTTCGGAGGTAGTCATATATCGGGCTATGCAACGCTGCGGAGAGGACCCCCTCCCGCCCCCCCCAAAAGAGACCAGAACACCAAGCTCTCAAGAGACTGGTAGTGGCTACCGTTGGACTTTATTTTCATGGTATCTGTAACCAGTTCTACAATCAGCTCACCTGATCACCTGTGATTCTGGTGTTCAGAGCCTCCTAGTATGATGATGTGGTTATTCAGGTAGAACCCAGCTGTATGTGTGCGTACGTGTGCGTGGACACACATAGCTCTGCATATGTAGGTAGTGTGTGTATGTATATGTATGTATATGTACACATATATGTATGTGTATATGTATATATATAGCTCAGAGTGAGTCTATTTATTCCTTTTCTCTCCTAATCTGAAAATGGGTTGTGTATTTTGGGTGGAAGAGACACGGAAGGGGATGTGTGTCCTGTCCCTTAACGATTTGTTATGTATCCTGTGGATTGGACCAAAAACTCCCAGTGACTGACTTAGAAGGCATTTGTAAGTGTCCACGTGCAGCCTACCTGTGCATGTCGTGTGTTATATATTAAGGATTAGGTGTATGACCTGCTGTTTCTCAGTTGGAGAAGACAACAGAACGTTCGGTGTATCGATGGGGCTTTTGTGCCTGTTTCTCCCCAGTCGGCTGAAGTTCGAACTGCTTGGCTGACACTTGCTCACTTACACGCGAAGGGCACTTTAAGTCGGGAAGCGGCCAGCAGCCTGGGTGGGTCCCTGGCGCGCGCGGGCAGTTTGCACAGCTGCCGTGTCCGTCTGCGCTCGCGCACGGGGAGTAAACACGCGTGTGACCGAACCGTTCTAGTTGCAGTAGTGCCGCCCTGATCCCACCTGTGTCTAGGTTGTGTTCTGTCACAGGTAAGCTCTTTGTCTACAATCCATGGATAATTTAGTACTGTAATCCCGGGGAGTTCTTTTTATACTGTTGGACTCTTTCCTGAGCTTTGCGAAGCCTCGAGTTTGGCTTCGTGATCCTTTGGTTTTGCTTTGTCGTTCGAGAGTATCTGACGCAGTACCCCTGGAATGCTCCGTCCCGGTCTGTCTTTGGTCCCCAGGTATCTTGTGTGTGCTTTAGGTAGACGTGGATAGTAGAGATCTGTAGACAGTTGCTATTTCAAGTATACATATCCCATGTCCAATACAGTGCATCATGACAAAAAAACAAAATTAGCTTCTGAAATAAGTCTTTTTTGTGTGTTGCTCTAGGGTGGGTGATTAGGAAAGAACAGAACTGCCCCCTGTGTGGGTATCATTAGGTTGTGTGTGGACTGTGATGTGTAACAAAGAATTCACTGAAGTATGGGACTATCCCAAAGGGAGGGGAAGCGGGGAAGCTTTGGACCGCTTCATCCTTAGCCGCTGGCACGCACTAGGACTCTTGCTTGCTGTGGCCTGGTTGTGGAGATCCGTCCAGGTCCCCAGGGGTTCTGACGGAGGAGTGTAGTCCGAGTACAGTTGAGTGACATTACATATTATGCATGTGCAGTTTGGTATGAAATGAAATCATTAATGACACACTACAAACCTGTATGCTTCACGCTATGCTTAATGCCTTTTTTTTTGTCCTGTGAATTTTCCTTGGTATAAGAGAGAATTGTGTACTGTCTCATCAGTTTACGATGATGAAGTGACCGTTACAAATAAACTGCAATCTCAGAGCTGCTCTTAACAACTAGCCATCCCAGCAGTGACACATGAGCACTTCTTGTAATGACACTCTCTACCTGTCGCGAATAAGGATTTCCAGTGCAAACTGCAAAAATCTTTGACGTTGTCCCATAAGGAAAAAGTGATGTCAGTGCAGTGGGGCAGTTAGTAAGTAATTTAAGAATGAGCAGAAGTTGTACCATATACACAAGATACTGCTGTAAACCACCTCCAAAAACGGATTGCATCACAGGGAATTCGAAGTGCACCTCTCCATTCCTAGATCTCTAGGACACTTAGCAGTTCACGTGCTTATGGAGCAATAAGAATATGTACCATTGTGCGTTTTTTAAAGCCCTGCTTCTTTAGAAGATCCTTTTCGGATCTTTTCATCTGTTCTCGTAGTTTTGTCTGCTCAGTAGGCTTAGGAAGTGACCTTTCGCACATCTGCACCATTAATTTCAGCGTGCACAGCGCTCTCAGTAGTGGTTCCGTGCCGGTGGCCACGCTCTGCTTAACTCCTCAGTGAAATAATTGCCCACAGTTCTGCCTGCAGCTTTGAGAAATGATCAGCATGCTGAGGGCAGCGCAAACAGGTGCCTGTTTCAGCTAGTGACTTGGTTAATTAGTGACACCCCTAACTTCCACCACAGATCGTTCCAGAATTGGTGATCGCCCTGTGCTTAGTTTGGGTACCGACTCTGAAGGGCAGCAGAGCCTGTTTTGTTAACAGATATCACAGGTTCTAGGTAAGAATATAAAAGCTAGATTTTTCTGTATTGAAATTTTATTCAGCTTGGATTTTACTACTCACATTATTTCTTTAGCTGCTCTGATTTCCCCTTAGGAAAGGTATTCTTATGACTTGTATAGGTACCCACTTAACTGTAAATTGGATTTTTTTTAATTTCCGGGACTTTCTAAGATGAGAAAGATTGGTGACTTAAAAATTACAGGAAACTGTTTTCATCAGAAAATGTCTAAGTCGTTTAGACGTGATGCTGTTGTACAGCTCCTGCCCACTGACGGCATCCTCTGAGGGCTGGGAACGGTCATGGAAGTCCTCTCTCTGAATGTTGACTTGCCACTAAAAACAATGCTGAGTTTATCAAAGTTCAAACAAAATTGGGAGATCATGATCCAATACAGTGACGACTCTGAGATCAAGATTAGTAGGAGCTGTGCACCCAGTTAGTTTCAGAAGCTGCTCTTTTGGGAGAATATACCATCGTTAGCTGGTGTCAAGGATGGAAGGTGACAACAGAGCCTGGGAAAAAAGTTCAGATAATGGTATGGACCAGTTTTGACTCTCAAGCCGCCAGCAGAGAACCCTTTGTCACCTTTTCTTCCTCAGCTAAAAACAATTTCTTACAAACACAAGGTGAATTTAAACAAAAAACCTTTTCCCTAGTTTTTTTTTTTTTTTCCATATACCTTCAGAGCTAACATGATAACTGATGCAGTGTCTCAGATTTTACTCAGGTTTAGACTAGTTAAACCTGTATGGCCCTGTAGGATTATGGGTGTAATGACTTGCTTTAGGTAAAGTAGGTATGATAATTTGGATTACACACTTGAGGAGAAGATGTCTATTTCTAAAACTCCCTTTTAGGTTGCCAGTTCCTTTTGGCACTTTTGCTTTTATACACGTTACAGCATTTATATAGGGTTATCCCTAGTCCTATAAGAATATGTGCTCACTCACCAAACTGAGATTTGACACACAGAGAGATGCGAGTACAATGAAATATCCCACTATCTTTTAAGATTTATTTTCCTTTAAAAATTCAGTAGAACATTTCTATACTTTTGCCAGCCTGTCCCTCCAACTAAACAAGTGCTCTATTCTTATTGTGCCCTTGGAAGGTCTGTATGTAAAACCTGAAATTTAGCTGTAGAATAAATTTGCTAAAGAAAAACAATGTACTTGATAAACACATAAGGGAAAAAAACCTCCAATTTGTTTGCTCTTTGTTGAAAAGAAGACACTATCTGCTATAATCCCCAGTGCCTTGAACTCTCCTGGAGGAATAGCATTTAAAAAAAAAATCCAACAAAAGTAAACTTTGAGGTGCTAATGAAAGAAAAGGAGGATGAGTATTTGTAGTTTGCAAAGAAATAGAGAAAGTGTCTGTCTCACAAGAGATGGCTTCATCTACCTGAATGGGGTCTGGCCGCTTTCTACCAAAGACATTTAGAGAAGTGAGTCGAGTCAGGGTGATGGCGGATATTACATACTAAAAGATGGCAAAGTTCAGAAGTGACCACGTTCATCACAGATGGCCGTTAATACCACGCTCTTAACTGTCGAAGCCTCAACCTCTCCTTAGGCAGGACATGCTTGCAGCACTTACAGAAAGTCTTTGCATTTTGGGAACTGTCCATTGTTTGTCAGATTTATTATAACCTAATACCAAAAACTGCCATTTTTCATGATTCCTACTTCCTATATATTTTTTTTTCCTACTTGTAAATAATCCCACCTAGAAAATAAGCATTAACTGGAATATTTCAAATGATTTTGCTTAATTTTATCATTAGCCATCAGTGAACTCCTTTTATAGAAATATACATTTATAATATCATTAGCTTGTGCTAAATGTTGTAAAAACGTTGTTTACTGTTTTAAAGGAAAGTTGCACATATTTAACTGGGATTGATCCTTTTCCCATTTCTTGAAAAAAATGGAGTCAAGGCTTACACTGATATCTAGGCTGTGGGAGCTTTGCCATAAATAGATACAATGTAGGAATATAGTTTTTTAAAGCATGAAAAAGAAGGCAAAGGAACTGCATTATAACGTACCTGATAGAGAACATTATTCAAGATTATGATTATGCACAGCTCGGTAAAGATGAAGTTACCATTTTTCTTTCAACTTTGTTGCTATTTTCTTCTGCTTAAATGTATGCTCTCATTTCATTATGTGCCTTGCTCCCTGATTGTGCAAACCTATATATAGATATATATATATAGATATATATATATGAGAGAGATATATTCAGTACTACTGATGATGTTTTTTTGTTCTACTGCTGGATTAAGTTATTTTCCAAATTACGAGTTACTGTCGGTGAATTATTGTAATGGCTTAGGACAGTAGTCATACAGTCAGTGTAAATTTGTTTTCCTTTGTGTTTTCATTATGTCAGCTTACCCAATCCTTAATAAAAGGAATACATAGATTTCATTTAAACATGGGGACTTGACTGTTTGTGGATTGGCATCATTAAGAAATTGGTTTTTTTGCTGGTTATGTTGGGGGGCCCCTAAAGAAGCTGTGCAGTAAGGACAAATTAAGTGGGAAGGTAAATTCAGCTGCAGTTTGGTATGTTCAACTGGTTACCCTTCAGTTTGTACCAGCAGAGAAGCAAGCAAGCTTTGGGTATTTAAGATTTTCTTCTTTAAAAGAGGGATGCTGCTTGTTTCAAAGCTTTGGTATCACAGCAGTCACATGTTGGCCTCCCATGTCAAGGTATGTATAAATGTGTGCATTAACAAATCACTGTTGTTTGTAAAAGAATTGTATTGAAAACCCTCGTGTTAAGTTAGAGCAACAGGGAAGGCTTCTCCGCAGTACACTTGATTTACCACCTTCGTAACCTCTTTGGTTACTTGCATAAAAACATTCACAAGACACTTGGACATACTTTGTAGAATTTTATTTAAGTCAAGTTCTTAGTACACAGCAACAATTTCAAATACAATTTCAAAATTAAAAAGTGAAGATTCCCCCACTCAGCTGGAGGTGGCTTCATGGCACACACAAGAAACATGACTGGCAACAGACTGCTCCCTCGATCTTCCTGCAGGATTTCTACTCCGCTCAGGACACCAGCCCTCTCTGGAGGAGCTTTAAAATACAACTGGCCAAATCACACGTTTTAACATTCTTTTTTGTAAACCATCTTAAGAAGAAAGATGCATGGACACAAAATATGAAAAACTGCTTTTCCATAGAATTCTAAAGTTGCAAAAGACACATTCATCGTAATGTGAAAATAAGCTTTTTGTGTGTTTTTTACAAAATATTGAGCAAGGATCATTTGTATACAGCTAGGCCCTATCGTTTCATTTGTTAACTTTTTTTTTTTTTTTTTTAAGAATTAGGAAATTCTCAGAAACAGGAATAAAGATCAGCATAAAGTAAATGTAAGGTTATGAGCACAATGCCTCCATTTAAGAACTATTTTATAAGGCTCTCTCAAGTAAGGCTGTTTGCAGTGCTCCTGCCAGTGCTGAAATCAGGTAACCTATTTTTGCTACAGAGTACTGAGTGGAGTAGTACAAGGGTGAACATGAACATTATTTTCACTAATTAAGTTGTGCTTAATACACTCTTTAAACAGTTTGAATACTGATGGTATTTATCAAAACGGCATATCTTTTCAAGTATCTTCCTGAAGACATCAAATAGCACTCATAATTTAAAAAAACAAAACATACAGCATATTCAATTAAGACAGCTGTAGAAAGAGTACAGGCATTGACTGAGGCAGGAACTCTACTGTTGTTAACTAGCTGTTACCTGAAATGAAACCTCTAACTTCCTCAGTCAAAATCAAAATGAACTAAAAATTTTTACATCTCATGTAGCTCTAAAATTCTAGGATTCTAAGTAAGTCATGTGAGGGGAAATCACCTTAACACCAGTCAGGAGTTCCTGGGAAAGAAGTTCAGAAGGGAACAGATGGCAAGTGCTTCAGATCCCCATTCTTTTCAAAGACTTGGCAGTCACCTGTCAATTCCTCCAACAAACCCTGTTCCAGGGGAAAGGTAGCCTTCAGGACATGTCATGCTTCTCCACCAAGGAGAAAAGGTAATAAAAAAACAAAGGAACCATTCTTAATGCAGAAAGGTACCTGCTAAAAGAAAATGAACACAAAAAGATAAAAGCAAACTACCATCATTTTGATGCCTCTAAAGCAGAAAAATCCTAAGTAATCATCACCTTAAGACTGCTGGGGAGCAGATGCATAAACCTCCTGTCTAGCTGGGTGAGGAAGGGAAGCAGGAGGGGGGAAAGAAAGGGAGGGATGAGAGTGTCTCATCTAGTGACTGCAAGGAACACAGCGAAACCAGCAGGCCCTTGCCAACCCTAAGACGGGAACGGCAGCTGCCCCTGAGGGAGGCCGAAAGCAAGTAGCCAAAAAAATGGAGGATACTGAACAAGTCATCTTAAAAGATTCGTATTTACTCCAAATACGCAAGCTGAATCTCTCAGGTCTAGATCTTGACACTATTTTGGTTTTTGATTGATTGCCTTGCCATAAGGTCAACAAAATTGTATTTTCATTCATTTTCCTGTGGCCTTTCAAACAGTAGTACCAAAAAGGTGTAGGGTGGGGAGGGGGGAACGGGGACTCTTAAGTCACTTTTTTTTTTTTTTTTTTAAAGGAAAAGCACTTCAGATGGAAAAAAATCCCCTCTCCCATTAGATTCCCTCTATCCTGTTAAAATGGTTGCTTACAAGTCAGCAGAGTCTAGACGTGGATCATCTCTGCCGCAATGCTATATATCCTGTAAGAGTTCTGCATCCATTTGGAATTCCTACTACCAACCATCCTGTAGTTCATAAAAAGACAAACAGGGGGAACCTACGATAAATCAAGAAATACTACCTTCACAGACTATTAATAGCATGCAATCTGTGAAATATTACATACATTAAAAGTCTCCAATTACTGTAGGCCTGGCCCATCATCATCATTACATAGCATCCTTCCAAGACAATATATAGAATTCAAAACTGTACAGAAATTTCAAATATGCAGAAAACTCAAAGGTGTTTTTAAAACAATTGTATACATTAGTACTAAATAATACCGAAGAAGTCAGCTGACCCCAGCAGCCCCCTCTGCTGCAGGTCTCCAGTATGAAGGACTGCGCCAGCGTCTTCTGCGCGCCACAGTCCAGCCGGGGCCCATCAGGCGAGCTGACCGCCACCGACTTTTCTGCACAATTATCTTCTCTGCTTCTGTAGGTGTGAGCTGTGAATACTATACCAGATTTCAAAATACCCTCTTGCCTTAAATATCCACTAAGCTTTCTCAGCACAAAGCTATTTAAGTGAAAACTGGAACACATCTAAATTTCAAAACAGTTTCCCTAGTTATACGCCAACACTAAGAAGAGCTTAACCTATCCAGGTAGATAGTCTTGGTCCATAATGAACCTGAAGGCTCAGAGGACACTCGGGGCCACTGCTTTAAAGGAAAACAGGACATAAAGAATGTCAAGACCTAACAAAAGCCTGAAGTGGAGGCAAGTTAATGAACGCTAAATTCCCCATTCAAAGTGTCGGAGAAAACTAAAAGCAAAATCGCTAACTTGCGATGTGTGGGGGAAAACCCCTGCAACTTTAAAACAAAAAGTCTTGATACGGGAACTCTGTATCAGGCCTGTTAAACGGTGATGAAGTTTTGTGCTCAGAGAACATATCTACAAGTGGAATACTAACTTCTGCTTACACCATCTGAATTCCCTCATACACGAGTGCTCTTGTTCCATTTTTTAATCCAACTCCTCTGCCTGCACTATCCTGTCCAAGGCCTTCACTTGAAATAAATGTGGTCACTGCCTTTCCCCTTTTCCCCCAGCACTGGGAAATGACCTGGCAAAGTCCCTGGGACGGGGACAAACCCACGGCCGCGCTGGGGCTGTGAGCTCGGTCCCGATGCTGGTGAGCAGCAAGCCCTCTTGGATCTTTTCAGTATTTCTTACATGATGAAAGAAGTGATGATTAAAGCCGTCTGCCTTACAAACTCCGCTGAATGAGAAGCTATAACTGTACAGACAGAAAAAAATACTGTTTTGCTCCAAATTATCTTAATTTTTATCTATGTAATAGGATGAATATTTGGCCTTATACCTTTTATCCCACTAGTCTTAGTCCAAAATCGAAGGTTCACATTCTTACCAAGAGCAGCGACTTCAAAAGCCAATCACAAGACCGGGACAGTATTTACCTTTCTCAGAATTGAGTCAACTCAGCAGCAGCTGACACTGGCCGTTACCAACATTCGGGGAGCACAGTGCAAGCCTCTGATTCCCAGTGACTGTCAAGAGACTTGGAAATAACTGCTATTTTCCAAAAAAGAATGTTTTCCTAAATAGTGAAAGAAGAAAAAGCTGGTCTGACCTCCCAAGATTCCACTCCGGAAACAGTGCCTAAGGCAAGAGTCTAGGGCGTCTAGGAACACAACACTCTCTCCAGCTCGGTCTCTCGGGAGCCTCCCGTCTAGCTTCGCCCGCCCGCTCCGGTGTGCGGACCAGGCGACCACACGTCACACGTCTGGGCCCACAAGCATCGGGGGCAGTGCGGTCTCGTGCAGCAGCAGCGGCGCATTAAAATCAAACCAGCAATGAGTAACCACCCTCAGAGTGTCTGGGGACTCACTTCGTCATCCTCAGTCTACAAACTGAAAAACATGAAGGGATGCAAGTCAGCGGCATTAACTCACGGAGCGCGCTCCAGTGCCGAGAGAATGCAGGATTTACAGTGTTGCGAGGAAAGAAGCCATCGAAACAGTTATAAAAATGGTAAAGTACGATAGTTAAATCCTAGTTCACTCCTCCTCATCCAGGTGGAAGCTGCTGGGCTGGGGCACAGCACTAGGGCCAGGCGCGGCCCGTCCGGCACAGGCACTGGGGAACATCCAGCGCCCCGGGTTCTGCAGAGGGAGAAATCCCAAGGGTGTACAGTATTCCTGAGGAAGATCCCAGATTTTGTGATCAGTCTTAACCTGATTTGTTTTACAGAGTTCTATGCCGTTATGCCTCGGGCATATTTAGAAACGGTCACTTTAACGCGAACAGCTCAGCATATAGTACAAATAATGGAGAAAGATCCGTCTGTTCAGATTCAGCTTGCTCTCTTAATGCCGGGGAATAAACCAAAAAAACCTAAGCAGTTTGTGTCCTGTGTATCCTTCCTTCATTTCACTGGAGGGGAATCCCCAGGGCCTTTCGCTAATCTGGGAAGACCTGACTGTTCCTGCGAGGGAAACGCAGCCCTGCTGAGCTTTACTCCGAATAATGCATGATAGACTCCACGTAATTGCCCGGAAAGAGCCCAGTCACTCCGTTCATAACGCCCTCATACCAACCATCATCGTTCTTCTTGATGACGTAAATAATGGCTCCTTCCTGAAAGGACAGCTCGTCTTCCTTGTCTTTTGTATAATCATAAATCGCCACAACTAGAGGGGGAAAAAAATAGGATGTGAAAGGAATGAGCATCCCCAGAAAGGCAGAAACAAGTAAGCGGATATCCGTCCTTTCCCAACTGCCGCAGCACTGCAGTGACCTTCTAAACACGGACCAAGAGATGCTTTTCTAATACTCCGTTACGCGCGACGGAATCCCATCTCGGAGAGGTTAGGCTCAACACAGCATGAAGGAAAAAAAAATCGCATTTAGTCAGACTTACCGTTCGGGAGCCGAGGGGGAACTACCTTACTGCAGAGAGAGGCCCAGCCCCAGAACCGGGAGGGACGGCGGCTACTTGAGCTGAGCTCGTGCCGGAGCACCACGCTGTGCCCAAACCGGTATCTTTAAACAAGTGAATTATTCTCGTGCAGTGACACGCACCATAAATATGGTCAAGTGAGAGAGTGAGAGTAAGGGAATGGCAGACTTACATCTCCTCCGACTGTCTAGAGCCTACACCTCTTCATGAAGTAGAAGGAGGAGGTGAGCTCCCAAGAGTTGTGTGTGTCGGCCGTGGAGTCTCCAATGTACATTCTTTCAAAACGCAGGCCGCGCTGTGCCGTTGCAACATATCCACAATGAGGGGCCAAAAGTTTTAAGAAAACCAAGATACCTGTCCGCTCTCCTGTCAACTTCACTGCTTCAATAACGTGGTTAATATCTGAGACAATCTCTGGTCGCTAATCATTAGAGCTCAACAGTTCAGTTCACTTGGGATGCCTTCAACTTGCTCAACTCCACATGAAGATTTATTTTTATAAAAGGGTCCTCTGTACCTTTATTATACCACTCAGAACTTCACTCAAAATCTCCATCTAGCTCTCGTTCTGATAAGTACATACTGACTTTGTTAGTTTCTCGTGCAAACTTAATCCTCAAATAAGAAAACAAAACTACAACAGAGACTTATGACTTAGTGTGACTTGCCCTAGTTAATTTGTCTGAGAAACTCCTACTTCAAGACACACCACAAATGCCATGTCCTCTGAACAGCCTTCTGGAATCCCCAGATAGAATAATGGCACTATTCACTTTTTAAAAATCGTTAATGGAACATCCATGCTGATTTTTAGAGATAGGTGAATAAGACAAGGGACTGTCATAGTCTTGTGAGGACAGAAATGTATCTGATAAGTTACCATACATTATTTATACTTCTACCAAGAAGTTACATCATTGAGCTGGAAGAACACAAGAACAGATGGCTTGCTAGAAGGAAGGATATAAAATGGGCACTGACAAGTTGAAGTTTGCCAGGAAGGATTTAATGCTAATAAAAAGTACAGCTAAGACTCAATCCCAGATCTGAAATCAAGCTGAGTACAGTGGTTAAGAACTCGGGCTCTAGGGGAAACTGAAAAAAAAAAAAAAGAATGTGGGCTCTAGGGTTATACCACCTAGTTCAAATCCCAGCTCTAGCACTTGTGAGTTTACAGAATATACTTAACTTTCCTAAGCTTCTTTTTACTCAGCTGTACAATGGGAATTACATAGTTCTAACCCTCAAAACAATATAGTTGCATTAAACGAAGCAATGAACATACAAGATACAGCCCCGGGCCTTGTTTATGGTAAGTGAACATCTATGTAACTGTTACCATATTTTATTATCTTAATAACTATTATGATACTATCTTTTTTGTAACACTAACATTTTCTGTTATATAAATTATTTTTGAACTTTAATTTCCTAGTTTGCAAAATGGGGAGACTAACTGCCTTACATACATAGTAACTTTAGCATTATGCCAAGCACATAATAAATACATAAAACTATCTGTTCTTTTAAATCAAGATACTTACATATACACCTTATCTTCATTTGGCTAGTATGGGAAGTAATCAAAGGTTAAGATTAAGATAAACCACCAAAGGTTAAGATAAACCAATGGCAATGGTTCTCAACCTTGGAATTATGGGAAGAACTTTAAAAAATTCTGATGCTGGGATGCACGCCCACGGGCTTCTGGTTTCTTAGGTCGGGAGGTGCAAACATACGGAATGCAACTTAAGTGACTCAAATGCAGGCAGGCCCTACGGTCTCAGCTAACAAAATGAGCCATTAGGCCGCAGGCTTAACACTGATGTACACTCAAACGAAAAAGCAACCATAAGCAAAGCACAGTTGATTCTTTTTGTTTTGCCGGAAAGAGTAAGAAAGCGCTTACTTGATTTTCATGTTTTAAAAGATCTGAACCTAAGGACAAATCAAACTTTGAAAAACATCTTAGGGAACAATTCAGACATACTCTTAAACTCCAAAGAGTTACTTGGACTGAAAGTAACTTACTATCTTCACTTACAAATTTCTGCAGATTTTTAACATATTCAATGAAGAATACATTGTTAGAAAGCAAAACCGTTCTTGCATTGTGCCGTTCTCTTAAGGACTAACTGACCTGGTTTTTCAGAGTGGAAAACTGTCATCACTTTATCTAGGACAGTGTGAAAATCAGGTAGGGAGTTTGTAAAACATGTCAATGCCCAAAGTCCTACCCTACTACTGTAGGACTCAGGCTATTTTCCTTAAAAAAACAGCTTTATTAAGGTGTAATTTAGATATAAAATATAACCACTTACATGTAGAGTTCAATGAGTTTTGCCAAATGTATGCACCGTATACATGACAACTACATCACTGCCACCACCACAAGCATCATATAGAACATGCCACCACCGCAAAGTTTCCTTTTGCCCCTACGTAAATTTCTTCACCCACCAGCACTGGTCCCTAAAAACCACTGATTTTCTAGATTTCATTTAAATGGAACCATGAAGTATGAATCTTTAGTGTCCAGATTCTGTCATTAGTAGAATGCTTGAAATCCATCCATACTGTTGCTTGTATCAGTAAGACTGTTCCTTTTTCTTGGCTGTACAGTATTCCATTGAATGGATGGATATCCCACAACTAGTTTATCCATTCACTAGTTGAAAGACATGTGGGCTGTTTCCAGGTTTTATCTATTATGAATAAAGCAGCTATGAACGTTTGAGTTCAAGTCTGTGTGTGAACACAGATCTTCATTCCTCTTAACTTATATGTAGGAAAGGACTGCCAGATCAGCTTGGCAAGTGTATGTCTAATTTCTTAAGAAACTGACAGCTGGGGGCGCCTGGGTGGCTCAGTGAGTTAAAGCCTCTGCCTTCAGCTCAGGTTATGATCTCAGGGTCCTGGGATCGAGCCCCGCATCAGGCTCCCTGCTCAATGGGGAGCCTGCTGTCCCCTCTCTCTCTGCCTGCCTCTCTGCCTACTTGTGATCTCTGTCAAATAAATAAATAAAATCTTTAAAAAAAAACCTGACAGCTGTTTGTCAAAGTAGCTGAAACGTGCTGCACTCTCACGGGCAAAGCCTAAGCGCTCCAGCTTCCCCACACCTCCTCCAATACTTGGTATCGTCCGGGTTGCTAACTGTAGTCACTCTAGAGGGTGTGCAGTGGGACTTAGTCTGGTTCACTGTGGCTTTAATCTGCATTTCCCTAATGACTAATAATGTTAAGCATCTTCTCGTGAGCTTATCTGCAATTCATGCACCTAAATGAAGTGTGTTCAAATTTTTTTTCTACAAGTTTTTTGCCTCCTTACTGAATTATTTTGCTAAAATTCTTCCCAGTCTAGGCTTTGCCTTGTTATTTATAGTATCTTTGAAGAAGAAAAATTTAATGATATTCAGTCTATCAATTTTTATGTGCTTTCTATAATTTTTTTTCCTAATTCCAGAACACAGAGATTTTCTCCTATATTTTTCTCCAGAAGTTGTATAGTGTAGGTTGTACAATAGGTCTAAAATACATTTCAAGGTAATCTTTGTGTATGGTAAAGTAGGGTAGAAATTACATGAACATTAATTTTTTACCTCTACCTTGGCCAGAAATGGAAGTCCACTATTTGTTAATATAAGCTCCCCAAATGATGGATATCCAGTTGTTGTAGCACATTTGTTGAAAACACTACCCTTTCCCCACTGAATTACCCTGACACCTTTGTTAAACAACATGTGTGGATCTTTTTCTAGATTCTATATTCTATTTATATTTCTATACTTATATCAGTACCACACTGTCCCAAATACTGTAGCCTTAGTTTAAATCTTCCAACATTTTTTTTAAACTGTTTGGATTTCACTAGATCTTTTACATTTCCATATAACTATTAGAATCCCCTTGTCAATTTCTGTAAGAATGGCTCCCAGAATTTTTACTGAAATTGCATTCAATTTACAGATCAATTTGGGTAAAACCAATTATTGAACAATAATGACCAAAGAGCATAATATATCTCTTGATTTATTTAAGGCCTTTATTAATTTCTCCTAATGTTTTACAGTTCTCATATAGGTCTTACATATATTTTATTAAGTTTATCCTTAAGTATTTCATATTTTCGATGTTACTACAAAAGGTACAATTGAATAAATTTCAATCACCAAGTGTTTGTTGCTCATATATAAAAATCCAATTAATTTGGGGCAGCCGGGTGGCTCAGTCCATTAAGCATCTGCCTTCAGCTCAGGTCACGATCCCAGGATCCTGGAATCAAGCCCTGCATCGGGCTCCCTGCTCAGTGGGGAGCCTGCTTCTCCCTCTCCTCCCCATTGTGCTCTCTCTCACTATCTCTGTTGCTCTCTAATAAAGTCTTTTTAAAAATAAATTAAAAAATAAAATCCAATTAATTCTGCACATTGGCTTTGTGGCTTACGATCTTGCTGAGCTCGCTTTTTAGCTCTGTCAGCTTCTTTGTGGATTCCTTATAGGATTTTCTACATATAAAATCATATCTTCTGGGGCACCTGAGTGGCTCAGTCAGTAAAGTGTCTGCCTTCGGCTCAGGACATGATCTCAGGGTCCTGGGATCCAGCCCCATCAGGCATCCTGCTCGGCAGGAAAATCTGCTTCACCCTCTCCCTCCGCTACTCCCCCTGCTTTTGCACTCTCTCGAATAATTAAAAAAAAAAAAAGTCATATCTTCTGCAAATGAAAACTATTTGATATTGTCCCACATATCTGTTGCCGTTTTTGGTTTTTCCCCACATCTCATTTTGGATAGTTTTTATTGTCGTATCATCCAAGTTGCTGATCTTTTCTTCTGAACTGTCCCTTCAGATACTGTTATTTTTCATCTCTAGAAATTCTATGTGGGTCTCTCTCTCTTTTTTTTTTTTTTTTTTAACAGACATTCTGCTCCTCTTTTGTGTTTATGTTTGCTTTTACCTTCTTGGACCCATGGGGCATTTGTAATATAAACACCCTTGTTTGGTAATTCCCCCATCTCAATCATTTCTGTTTCTTTTCACTGACTTAGTTATATTTTCCTGCTTTTTTACATGCCTTGGAATTTTTGATTGGATGTTAGACACTGTGGATCTTATCTTTTGGTGCTCTGGATTTTTTTTTTTTTTTTTTTACTTTTCTGAGCAATGTTGGATTTTGTTCTAGAGATCAACTAAGTTACGTGGAATCAGTTGGACACTTTCAGGGTTCGTATTTAAGCATCTGTTAGGGCAGTCTGGAGTAACCTTTAGTGTATGGTTAATTTGGCCCCATCACTAAAGGCAGACAGTTTTGAGGCCTCTTCTCTATACCCTGTGCATTGCAAGGTCTTTCTGTTGGTTCAGGAGCATGAACCATTCCCAGACTTGTTATTTCCAGTAATTTTTTGCGAACTCCTTTCTGGTGGTTCTCTCTCCAAGCTCAGGTGATTTCTTCACATGTACACGGAGGACTATTTGCTCAAAGACATACGGGGACGCTTCTGCAGATCTCCAGAGTGCTGTCCTCTGTCTTTGTGTAACTACTTCTTCTCTGTGGCCTCCTAAGACTCTGATTTCTACCTTGCCTGTGCAGTGAGATCTCCAGGCTCTGTTTGGGTTCCACCTCCTTGCACTGTGGCCCAGAAATTTCCCCGAGTTAGCAAACTCAGACAATCAAAGGTTTCCCTTGTTTGACTTCCTTCTCCATGGGGTCATAGTCTACCACTGCCTGTTATCCAGTGTCTGAAAATCATTATTTTTGTATTTTTTTTTTCTGGATTCATTCCTGCTTTAAGAGGAAGGGTAGGGCGCCTGGGTGGCTCAGTGGGTTAAAGCCTCTGCCTTAGGCTCAGGTCAGGATCCCAGGGTCCTGGGATCAAGGCCCGCATCGGGATTTCTGCTCAGCGGGGAGCCTGCTTCCCTTCCTTTCTCTCTGCCTGCCTCTCTGCCTACTTGGGATCTGTGTCTGTCAAATAAATAAATAAAATATCTTAAAAAAAAAAAAAAAGAGGAAGGGTAAATCTGTCATTGTTACTTTACCTTTACCCTATGTGTTAGAGTAAGCTCCCCAGGTGATTCTACTGTGGTCAGTTTTTAAAATCAGTAAGTTAGTAGCTTCCATTCCCTTAACAGAAAATTTGAAGATAGCATACATTTTTTCTGAGCTAGTCTTCGTGAGATTTGGAAGCCTGTGTCCCAAAAGTGTCATGTCAGAAAAGTTCCATTCAGAGAAACTTTTCACTTAAAAAAATGCCCAACAGTACTTCGCAAAGAAACTGAGAAACCATTATTGTTTGGAAGAAAATTTCATACGCAGATGCTTAACCTAAAATATCTGAAAGAAGATACCACAAAAAACTAATTATTTGGAAATATCATCCTCTTCCAGAGACATTCCAGAAAAAGTCTATTTTTAAAATTTCTGTCTTATAGAAACCACTCATAAAAAAGCATGTTCAGTAGGAACAATAAATAACCATCAGTATGAAATCAGAGAGTCACAGAATTTTACTAGTGTGATTTTCAAAAATCATGAACCTTGTAAGCTAAATTAATAAAATGTTGCATAGATTATGCAAGCACAACTTTACCTATCAGTAAGAAAAAAAAGTAAGGTTTTCAGTATGAGTAAATTCCATTTCCATGTCGAGGTGTCTCCCCATCCCTCTAGATATCCCTCTGAAACTTACCCTTTTCCAAGTAAGATCTCGGAGCCCATGGTGGGTCCTCTTCAGCGTAAGGATCACTATACTCAACCACAGCTGCGTCCTCCTCTTCATAATCTTCTGGGGGAGGAGGTGGGGGAGGGGATTCATCAAAGACCGGTTCTTCCACAGGTGGTGGTGGAGGTGGTGTATCTGAAACTAAGAATGGACCAAGCTGATAACAAAACTACATGTTAAGCAAAGTTCAGTATTTTCTATCCAAGCCTCTATATACACGGCATGTAAATCTGGACTTGAAAATAGTGATCTTTCGCTGGGTAATGGACACTGGGGAGGGTGTGTGCTATGGTTTAGTGCTCTGAATTGTGTAAGACTGACGAATCAGACTTATACCCCTGAAACAAATTATCCATTATATGCTAATTTTAAAAATGATCTTTTCAAAAAAGAAGTGGGCAAGAGAAGGCTCCGCACCAACTATAATGTTTCAAATCTCAAAGCGTGACTTTCTCCTCCCTCTGGGTCAGGGCTGATGGGTGTTAAATAAAGCTTAACCAAAATAGTATTTATTAAATGAGTCTCCTGGAACCTGTTTATGCTAATACACAATCCTCTTTTTCAAAGAAAGAGTAAGTACAATATAGTTTGGTTTTATATTATATCCAAGGAGCAGTGGTTATCAAAAATATTAATAATTTGGACATTTACAAGCATATTTAATTTTTCATAAATTAGTTTTTTAATTTAATAAATAATAATTTAATTTAATAAATTAAATATAAATAAAATTAAATAATTTAATAAATTAATAAATTAGAATGTAAAATAGAATGTAAATGTGAATGTAAAATAGAATGCAAATTAGAATGTAAATAGTCAAATATTAGTAATCTACATTCCTTTCAATGAATTCTTTTTAATAGCATTTTACCAAATTAGTGGAATGGAAATCACAAGACTTTGGGTAACTTCGTCCATGAAGATGTTCGTGCTTGCTGTTTTTTAGAGAGAGCATTTCACCTAGTTCAGACTGATTTGTGATCCAGAATTTCCTCACGCTAAATATGCAAGAGTGACTTAAAAATCTGCTCCCACGGCTCAAGTATCAGCATATATCCAAACTCGGGCAACTCAAAGCTTTTCAAAATGGTTGGTACATAACTGGACACAGCTCAACAAAATAAACTGAGTAAACCTGCATTTATCAGCTGCTCAATTTCATTTATTTATTCTTATTCGTGAGGTACCAGTACTGTTTCTGTGAAACTCTCTGAGCAATCCTGTTTATTTTCTAGCTTTCATCTGAGCCTACTGACTCAACCAAGTGGACATGAGAAGACTGCTGGCGTCTGGTGGGAACTGGGACGTCGGTATCCTCCTCTGTCCTGTTCCAGGTTCTCCCACGCACTGCCAGTCTACTTCCCAACCTGCCTGCTTGATGCACTTCCAAACTTTACTCATTAAAAGTGATTCTTTTACTCCTAATGGGTTTTTAAAATAAAAACTACAGATATGTGATTTAGCATATATTTTATGACAAATTACATAAGGTTGGGAATCAATAATATAACCTATTTGCACTTATAAGGTAAAGAGGCTGACTTTAAACAATTACATAAAAACAAAGATCCAAAGGAACGCTGTCTTTCAAAACAATCACCTTGAAAAATTACATTATAAAATTACTCAAAGATTCTGCCATTGCTCATTTTTACTATTTCTTTTAATGCCTCAGAGTTAATGAGACTGACATAAGCTACCATTTTAATCCTCATTTTATGTGGAAACTGGCTTTCCAAGATTAAGTAGTCCTACACTAAGTAAGTGGAAAAGCAGGAATTTGAACTTCAATGCCTGTTATCTTAAAAGACACACTATTATGGGACAAGATCAGTAACTTTAAAGTCACATTTCATGATTACTCATTCAACAAACATCAACTGAGAGCCGACTATGGCTAGCCACTATGTTCAGCACTGAGACAGAGCAGTAGGCAAAAGTCATAGAGACATGGACAACAGAATTTTCACTTGTAACTACATGCAGTAAGTGCTTTAAGTCACTATGAAAAACACAGCAACAGACCAGAACTCTTACATAGGTCAGGAAAGGCTTTCTGAACCTGAAGAATAAGTAAGAGTTAATGGCCAGAGGGCAGGATGGAGTGAGGGTGGATACTTCATGTCAGATGTGAAGGGAGAAAAAAAAATACAAAGGTAAGAAAGTAGGAACCCTTCAAAGAACTGGCCAAAGTTTAGTAGAAAGAGGCATAAGGAAGCTGAAGAGGACTAAGTAGGAAGGGCCTTCCAACAGTTTGGATTCTATCCAAAGAGCAATGGGGAGCCATAGAAGGATTTTAATAATAATAGAATCATAGCTGCACTAGTATACCTGGTTCCAAGTAATTCCAGACTGTTTACAAGTATCAATCTTATTATAGACTATCTGCTAATATACCTGAAAACTAAGAAGATAATTCTAAAAGACAAGTACACATCTTTCCAAGGTGAATGTTTTGAAGAGAACATTCATTTGAATGCAGAAGTCCTGCTGTGTCCGCAAAATCAGCCACAGCTCACCTCATACACAAAGTTTTCTTATTTTTCTACATTTTGTAGGTGAGAAATACATGTGACTATGGAAAGAAAGAAAAGACTATCCCAAAAGGCAATCACACTGCTGAACATTGGAGGTGCTCCTGGTTTACCTTCCAATAAGCGGAAGTCAGACTATTTTCAGAAGCGAACAGAGATGCAAAGGCACCCGGAAGAGGCCGTGAGCCCTCAGGCAAGTGGGACAGGATTCTAACCAGTTAAAATGCAACAAAGAAATGTGTCCATGAAAAGGGGACATTTGGTTAGATACAAAAGCACAAAAAACAAATAAAAAAACAACCCCAAAACAAAACAACAACAAACCACGGACCAAAGTGTCTGCTTTGTGTCAGATGCTTCTCTAAGTGCAGGGGAAACAGCCAGCCAGCAGAACCACCGAAAATTCCCGCTCTCCTAAGAGCTCCCATTCTGGTATCAGCAGCGCCCATTGAAGAACCAGGAGTCCTAAGCAACACAGTGCAAATATTTCTGCCCCTCTGGTCAGGCCACCCCTGTTATGAGATGCATACAACTGGGCTTCATCATATTGATGGCATTAAACTTTTCATTAATGGAAACGCCTAGCTCAGATTCCATGCCCGTCATGCAACTGTGTGGATTGTGATGTGGGCTCCTTGCATAGACCTCTCCCCAGAAAAGAATTCATCTTATGGCCTATTTCACTGGTCTCTGTAACAGCAGTTCCTCACTGAGTGTGACACAGGCCTCCTGCTTCGGAGACATCAGTCTCCTGAGCTTCCTTAATGCTTTCCTAGGAGACGACTGAATGGGTCAGTAAAATTAGTTATCTGGTCCTGCATGTCTCGACCCCAGACTACAGGCCAATGGAAATTCATTGCCAATCTACGAGGCCTCCTAGGAGAGACAGACTGGCAATTTGGTCCCCTGAGATCTACCACGGCATGGCCATTTTTACACCTGGAATCACAAGACTGGAGGAAGATTCTCAAGCCCGGCCACCAGACCCTGCGACTCCGATGACAGCAAACGAGGCTACTAGCTGTCTGAGCAATGCAGAGAAAGAGACGGGCTCTCTGGGGGACTAAGTAGCATCTCCTTGGTTAGATGTGGTCTTTCTTTTCTTAGATGGGCTTTATTTTATTCTTGTCTCATCTTCACTACCACATTTTAAGTTATCTGGAAGCAAAGAACTTCATCTTAATTATTTTATCACACTAGCTGCTCACCCAGGAACTTGCCCATAATATGCAAATATGTGAACTCTCAGTGAACGAAGGACTATTCAACCAATTATATATAAATGACATTTTATGCCTATAATCTGATCTTCAGCATAAAGAAGACATAAACTTACTATTTTCTTGGACTCTGGCCACAAATCCCATTAAAGGTAACTGAGGAGTTACCTGTAGGATGGAGGGAGGAGGAGGAGCAAGAGATACTGCGAAAACAAAAAGGTGTGGAGGGTAAGGGCTAAGGGCGAGTCACATTAAAAGGAAAGGCTAATACAATAAAACAAACATATAAGGAGGGAAACCCCTAGGTACAAATATCTTAAAGGCCCTCTTTTGAGAGATAATACATTAACACAAAAAACAAAGTATTAGGGGGAGTTTAAAGAAAGTTCTAAAAATTTAACAGGAAGCATTTCTTATATACAGATCTATTCTAACATGTAATACCAAACTGATCTTGTCATATCACTAACAACATATTTTCTCAAAGAATTTCTGCAGATTATCATGAATAATTTGGTTTTCAGGATTTTAAAGGTTACGAGTTTAAATGTTCAATACCAGGAAAAAAAATTGCATCCCAACATCCTAAATTTATACTTTCCATGACTTAATTAACAGGCAAATTAATTGGTTCTTCATTCATTAATTAAATATTTACTGACTTTCTAGTAAGTGAAAAGCACTCTGCTAGGAAGCCAGTATCAAACCATTCTGAGAGTTAGGTCTGTGTCATTACAATTCCAATTCATACCAAAAAACACCAGACTCATTCAAATCACTCTCTCCTCCCAACGTCTTTCCCTCTATCGCAAACACCTGGTACAGTGCATAGCACTAGTCAGCCTGCAACAAATGTTTAACGTATGTAAATAAATAAACCTGGTACGTGCCGAACAATAGCCCAATATTAATTCTACAGTTACGCTTTTCCTTCAGAATGAGTGTAAAGCACAGTATGTACCTTCTTATGAAAATAAAACACCTTTATTAACTCAAATTACAGTTAAGACTAATACAACTGAAAAGATGAAAGAGTCACTGCCCTCAGAGGTCTCATATTCTAACCCGAGATACCAAAGAACATAACCCGAGCCCAGCAATGTTTGTAGCAATCCGCTGGGGGGCGCTGTGCTGGGAGAGTCGGCATGGGGATGGTGGGGTGGGGGTGGGTATTTGTAGGGAAGGCCACACAGAAACGCTCTCTGAGCGGGCACTAGAAGAAAAGGAGTTCAACAAGCAGAGAAGAGAAAGACAAGACGAGAACCAAGTGAGGGGCAGAGGTTGACAGGTCTAGAACAGCATGACCAGTGCAAACCTGGAAAAGTGAGTAGGTAGACAGGAACTAGGGAAGTGCCTTAGGGGGAAGAGTGCTCAGTGGTGAGAGACTGGACTTCAAAGTCACCCAGCATCAAACACCTGATTCACCATTTCCTTGTTGTTAAACACCTAGTAATCATTTCTTTGGACCTAATCCATAAATGTGATGAAAAAAAGCGGTTTGCTTTACAGAGCGGTTGCAAAGATTTAAAAAGAACAAAAACCAAAAACTAATGCACGCAGAATGCCTAACCTAGGACCTGTCACCAAAAAAAAACAACAAAAAACAATGCAGCATAAACACAGAGAAAAGAAGAAAACTTAGTATGAAAAAAGTACTACTTGGTAGCTAAGAAACATACGTGATATATAGACAAGAGTTAAGCTATTAGTTAACACTGAAGAGTACCTAGCTGTAAGGGACAGAAGAATAACCCTAGAAACAAGTACCTTTCTTAAAAGGTAACTTTTGATTAGGTTTTTCCCTAAGGTCGTACTTCTTGGTAGTAAACCCTTCGGTGCCTTGTCTCCCCCTCACAGAGGCTTGGAACAATTGCTGGTATGTTCCCAATACCCTGTGTTTCCAAACTTGGAGGAAGAAGATGACATAATAAACATAGAAGTAGCAGAGACAAAGCTGATAAAAGAGAAGGAGACAGCAACTGGTATTCTAGAAAAGTATTTACTGGGTGTATGTTCCCATCAAATAAGATGAAAATGTTCCTCTTCTGTTACCAACAGTCCCATAACAGAAAAGTAGGGAATTCCCCATTTCAGTCACTATTTCTCATCCTTTTTTTTTTTTTTTAATGACCTTCTGGTGCTCAGCTAAACCAGAATGATTAGGTGTTTAACTCAGAACAGTCTTTTTGTATGTAGATCAAGTGTATTATTATTTTTTAAGATGAGTATGTTCTATTTCTTTTCTAGTTCTGAAAGTGAAAATCTGAAACCATATGGTTTTAAGAAGTCCACCAACAACAGCCCAGGTAAAAATCAAACCCAAATCTTCCTAAAAAACATTTACTTCATAACAAAACAAGTTGGATTTTTCTCAAAGCTAGACCATGTTTAAAAAATTCAGTTCCAGGGGCACCTGGATGACTCAATGCGTTAAGCCTCTGCCTTCGGCTCAGGTCATGATCTCAGGGTCCTGGGATCAAGCCCCACATCAGGCTCTCTGCTCAGCAAGGAGCCTGCTTCCTGCTCTCTCTCTCTCTCTCTCTGCCTACTTGTGATCTTTCTCTCTCTCTGTCAAATAAATAAATAAAATCTTAAAAGAAAAAAAAAATTCAGTTCCAAATGGAGTTTACAAAGGTCACCCCAAATACTACTTTTTTCCCCCAGGGCAAAAATTTAATGTGATGATGCAAATTAATTTCGATACCACAGCATTTTCTTTCTGGACCGCATTAAGGTTTTATCTGACCAGAACTCCTGTGAACCACAACATCCTACTTTAGACTAGATTTATTTTCCTTAGAGCTGAGCTGAAAACAAAGCATTCTAGAAGACTGAAGCAGGATTTTGATGAGAAGAGTCATCTGCATTATTTGGTTCTAGTCCTAGCATCTCATGAACAGGGAAGAGAAGTAATCAGACACTTGTTTCCACTCCACTTAGTTAAGATGATTCTTCATTTGACAAGACCCTTTCCCTATAGCCACCAAAAGATATCGAAACTTAGATTCGGGAGTTTTACGTTCATAATATGTACTAACGATGTTAATGTGAAGACATGGCCTCACCAGATGACTGGAGTTTTAGAGAGGTCTTAAGTTCTACACACAGTAACAAGTAGGTATGTACATAGTAAAGGCTCTGCAAGCAAACCACACTTAGAGGATGAGTCTGTGCTGACGAAATATACAGACGTTCCGAACATGACCCTCCTGGTTATTTATGAAATCCTGTGGAGCATAATCTTTGAGGCTTATTGTTTTAAAATGTCTACTTCAAAACGTTTTGAAAAATAACTTGGAATTTTACAGCTTATGTCTACAGATTTGTAAATACTCTGAGAAAATCAGACAAAATGAACATTCTAAATGTTCTAAACGAATACTACTTCTAAAACCATTAATGGATACCACTGGGGCACCTGGGTGATGCAGTCAGTTAAGTGTCCCACTCTGGGTTTCAGCTCGTCATGATCTCAGGGTTGCACTGAGCACAGAGTCTGCTTAAGTTTCTCTCTCCTTTTCCCCCTCCCCCCCACCCAGTCCCTAAAATCAATCAATCAATTTTTTTTTTTAAGAAAAGACTACTACCTTTGGAGGTTATAGACATCTGAGAGTGCATTCAAATTTAGGTGCTTCTATTTTACATTACAGTAAAGGAAAATATTTGAGCAATTCATTTTAAGAGTGAAACTTTCCTAAACATGAACAGCAGGGAGCATTTAAAAGTGAACTTAACTCATCATACTGAGTAAGGAGGCTTCTTTGATGGAAAAGAATACGGATACCAAATAATTATCAGTTCTGTAGTTTCAGAAGGGTTAAAAGAATTGGTTCATTGTTGTTATTCCCTTCCAAGCAAAAAAAAAAAAAAAAATCACAAGATGTTATGGTAAGAAAAAGCAGCAAATTAACACAAAGTTTAAAAACACAGCTTGTGTTAATAATCAGTGTTAAGGGTCTATCTGGCTTACTTGGTCATTTGAGAATATTACACTTTTCAGTTGTTTTCTGGCTTTTTTGCTCTCCTTACAGTAAGCATTCTTAAAAAATAAAAAATAAAAAGAGTAAGGATTCTCTAACAAACCCTAAAGACTGCCTAATATAAGGATTTGAAAAATGCTTCTTGCTACTGCTCTTTATGCATACTTTGCTAAAGCCTTACCACATCTGTATTCTTCTGGAAATTTACGGTAATGCTGTAACTTAACTTTCATTTAGAGGATATATGTTATTCGCTTATCTTCTGCAATACCACCAACCCAATGTTATTTTTTCAGTTTCTTTGTAGTTGTTTTCATAACATTCAAGGTAAACCTTGACATTTTCCCTGTGTAAAACACCATACTCGTTCACAAATTCCTCTCTCATACAACTATATACAGTCACATTTCTTGGAAACAACATTTCACCTTATGAATTAGATTTTTTAGTCTTTGCTATAAGGAACTGTGAGCAATAAAATATAGGATTATCTATTACCAAAGACGTTGGTACTTAAACACCACATTATCAATTCTTTAACGTTATGGACTGAATATTTATGCATCCCTCAATTCATATGTTGGAATTCTAATGTGATGGTATTAGGAGATGGGGTCTCTAGGAGGCAATTAGGTCCTGAGGGTAGACCCCTCTAGAATGGAATTCGTGCCCTTATAAAGGAGACCTAGAAAACTCCCTTTTTTTCCACCATGGGGGGATACAAGAAGATGGAAGTCAGCTACCTAGAGGAGAACCCCAGAACTTGACCATGTTGGCACCCTGATCTGACTTTCAGCCTCCAGAACTGTGAGACATAAATTTCTGTTATTTGTAAGTCACCCGTCCTATGGCACTTTACAACAGCAGCCTGAACTAAGACATTTACCAAAGTAGGTTGAGATCTGTAAATGTACAAATACACAAGTGTGTGTGTGTGTGTGTGTGTACATATTTCTTTGCCACCAAAGCCCTTCACACTCATATTTAAGGCAGAAACTGTTAACTTACATTTAGCTCTATTTGTTTCAGTTATCCTCTTAGCTGCTGACATGATGAGTGGTAAGTCTGTGCTCCTGTTTCTTTGGTTAGATTCTTAAGAAACAATGAGAGCCAAAGAGGTTTCAGTTATTCCCTGATTGAAGTGTTCCTTTCATTAACTTGCTTCTGAAATAATCTCATTAGAAAACAACTATTGCATCCTTAGGATCATTAGAAAACAGTTACTGTACTCGGAGGACTTGGCACTAGACACTGGGTGTTCCGTATTTTAATTCCTATATTCTAACGCCTTTCAAACTCAACCAAATACAGTAACAGTGCTGCCAGATTTCCATCTCAGAAAAGCACAGTGAATGTCCTGAGCACTGTTCCCAGCATAACACTGTATAAAGACTGATAAGGTCTCTGGCTCTCATGCATTTTCTACCGCGATGTGGACATCCTCTTCCCCACCCCTCACCCCCACCAAAGAGAAGACTAGGAGATTCAGAGAGATTTTCCTTTTAAATCTGAAGGTAAGGAGGCTAGGACGAAGAAGAACACGGAACTTCGAGGCATATGACCCAAGTTCAAATCCTAACAGGACATCACTTCAGCGTCAGTTTCTCATCCTACAAAATGCAGATGAAAATGATCCCATGATTATGAGAATCAAATGAGACAATACATATAAAATCATTCTTTAAACTGCATTTATGTAGAAGTAGAATCAAGTTTCTTCTGCATGACTCCAAAGGAATAAGGTTTCACCAAAAGGTAGTAGCCACAGCAGACTGGTTCATGATGGAACGGGCTGTCCCCTAATATTAAAGATACACAGGCTTAGTGGCCTGTGGGCAAAAATACAGAAAAACACAGTAAGTTGATACACCATGTCCATAACAGAGAGTCTAATATTTGCTCTTATCCTCTCTGGGGAAGAAGCAAAAATAATGACTACATGTGGTATTAAATATGTGCCAGATTAATTTTTTATGGATGCATGATGCAACTGGAAGATGACTACAGTATCTAGATCGACCTGTCCAAGCCCTAGCCTCCCCACCACGGGTTTGGTATGAGAGCTGAGTACAACAGTGTAACTGCCGAGCACAAAACAGCTTCAAAAATATCCCTTCTCTTTCACTATACCACTTACAGACTGTTCATGAACACTCAATTTTCATTATTTGGTATTCACAGAGCAAGGGTATCAGGTTAAATAAGAAGGAAATACCATTCACCACAATATTATTCTTAAAAGCAAATAATCACCAACACAATCAAAGATTCTGCTCAGAAAAATTAAGTTCTATGCTTTACACAGAAACCATGTACTGATTTAAAAAAAAAAAACTGGATGACACAGCATTAGCAAACCTTGTAGTCATTCTTCTATTCATTCAACAAATAGTATTTAACACCTATTATGTGCTAGTAGTTTGTAATTAAAGGCTTTTCCCCTGTAACTGAAAATTTTAATTGGATATATTCTACAGAATGAAAAAGAAAATCTAACCTGGATTCTGGCTATAAAAAGGTCCTCCATTCATCTGATTCTGAAGGCTTGTCTGTGAAGTTATGGAAGGAGGGCGTCTATAGGGCAATGAGCCCCCTATTGTTGGGGGAGTATGGCGAGAGGCGGGTCTGTTCATGCTATAGAACTGAACAGGATGACCTGGAAAAGAGACAGAGCATAAATTTGTCATTAAAAGATAATTACCTCAGGCAATGAAATGCTTTTGGCACACTGCCTGAATCTTAATAAGATTATTAAAAATTACAATATTTAGTTAATTGCTATCTGTTAAACATCATGCAAGGTCAGAGTTATTGGTCAGCTAACATATCAAAGTGCAAAAGCAGGAAACTCTCTGTAAAATAAATAAATCCTTAAAAAAAAACTTAACAAGAATGACATTTGGGACGGCAAAAGAAAAAAAAATGTTTCACACAGTCTTATTCGAAATAATAATAATAAGAGCAGTAAATTTAAGGTGGCAAAGCAGTCAGTTTAAAGGAAAACAAAGTATTTCAGCAATCAAGTGACATAATTCCAAATCAAACACATCTTTATTCAATCAAAAATCTCCATCTCCAATACTAGATTATTTTGTCTTAAAATTAGAGCTTAAGAAATTTGTAATTAAGAAAAAAGCTAAGGTAAAAAAAGGGAATCAAAATATATCTTATTTGTAATACCATCTCTAAACCTATAATATTTATTAGCAATTTCACTCAGTTTTGCTGAGTACTTAAACAGCTAATGCCAACTAAAGACATTTTTTCTTTATCTACCCAATTCCCTAATGCAATCCAGTTCCTAAATTTTATCTTGACTCCACTTCCACTTAAAATCATTCAACTGAAGGCCTACTCTTACAGACAGATCAGACAGACTACTGGAGCACCCTTAAGAGACCACTCCAACCGGCAAGAAAGGAGGGGAAGAGAGAAAAGGGAAGGGGAGGGAGCAGAAGGCAGAGAGGAAGAACCAGGGGAGGAGAGGAGAGATAAAGGGAAGAGGAAAGAGGAGGAGAAAGTGCAGGGAGGAAGAAAGGGAGGGGGAAAGGAGAAAAGAAAGAAAAACACTTCTGGCAATTTTTTATCTTATCTATGACAGTAAAAAGGGTTTACATAAGCAAAATTGGTCTTCAGGAACTCTGTAACTTTATCCAACTTGGATTCATGTGAATTCATATAAAGAATATTATAAAAGTACTGAAGATCTTCTATATCATTTAATTTTGCATATGATAGCATCAAAACCTAAAAATCAATAAAAAATCTGGAGTATTCAAGCTTTTACATAATCTACTGTCAAGTCTCTGCAACAATGATAAAAAATGTAAAAATATATAAATGATTGTTTAAAAGGTACATTTTGTCATTTGAATCACCAGATAGAATACATTATTGGCATTTTCGTAATCAATCTGTAACAAACTAATACAAACCTACTATCTTTAAGTTAAAAACATCTGATAATTAAACCATTATGAGTTTTATATAGTTAGATCCAGTCTAAAATCTCACATAAGTCCTCAGTAATTCAAAGACAAACATTAAAGACTCTCTATTCATTCCATTAATAAGGCATTTACTCTGCTTTGGGTTAAAAAAGCAAACAAAACTATAGTTTAATTAACACAGACCTAACTATCCCACTAATGTTCTCTCTCGCTCTCTCCCTCTCAAATAAATAAATAAATAAAATCTTTTTAAAAAAATTATTTAAAAAGTTCTAGGGAAAAAAAACAAAAAAAAAAAAAACAGAACAAAATATTTGACCTTGTGTAAGGTAACAAGTTTGAAGGTATGACACTGAAAGCACAATCCATAAAAGAAATAGACTCAATCAAAATGAAGAACTCCCCTTCTAAAAGATATCATTAAGAGAATAAAAAGGTAAGTCACAAATGGAAGAAAATATTTCCAAATCGTATAACCAATAAGGACTTACATTCAGAAATAAAGAATTTGGTAAAACAATCCAATTCAAAAGGTATGTGGAGGGGAACAAAACAAAGAGACATTTCATCAAAGAAGATAAACAGATGGCAAAGAAGCACACGAAAAGAGGTTCTACTTCATTAGTCATTAGGGAAATGGAAAAATCAAAGAAACTATTATATACCTATTAGAATGGCTAAAGTTAAAAAAAAAAAAAAAGGCAAACTGACAACAGCAAGTGCTAACAAGCGCGCAGAGCAACAGAGACCCACCCGCTGCGGTGGGGTAAGGCTGCTCAGCCCCTTGGGGACCCAGCCCACAGCCTCTCCTAAAATCACTCACTCACTACACAAGCCAGCAAGCCTACTCCCTGGGTGTTTACCCAAACGAACTGAAAACCTACACTCACACAAAGTCTGCGTGTGTACGCTACGTCAATTTTATTCATAATAACCCAAAATGGAAATGATCCCAATGTCCCTCCGCGGGGAAGGGCTCAACGAGCTGTGGCGCCCCCACATGACAGAACACCAGCCGGTAATAAAAGGGAGCAAAACAAGGAACCGTCAAACCACCTGAATGAATCTCAAATGCGCCAGCGCCAAAAAGCCAGACCCGAAAGACCATTTGCTTCTGTTTATGTGATATTCTTACAAAGGCAAAACTTTAGAGACAAAAAACAAAACCAAAAAAGCCACATCAAAGGGCCGCCAGGGGTAGGAGGGAGCAGGAGGAACGGACTACAAAGAACAGAGGAGATCGGCAGGTGGTGGGACTATTCTACAGCTTTTTTTTTTTAAGTCTATATGATCTTAGAGTATTTAATACATTATGCATCTCCTGTTTAGATTGTCTAGATTTTCCTCAAGCTAGGTGGGCTGCAGTTGTATCACTGTATACGTTTGTCACAAACATACACGTGAAAAAGGGTGACTTTTACTGTATGTAAATCATACCTTAAGAAGAAAAGAAAAAAGTACTTGGTAAGTTGAAGACTGTATAAAAGAGATTATACTGATATAAATTATTAAGGCGTTTATACCTTTCTTTTTGTTAAGAAAAACTATACTTACCCACTCATATAACAAATGTTTATTCAGTGCAGACTACAAAGCAGTACCTATTAAATTATGATTTTATTACTCAAATGTTGACTCCTGGGTGGAAGTGATTTGTTCCTTCTGGGCCTACAACCAACTTCAAGCTGTAATTTTTACTCCACTGGTGCCGGAGCATAACAGAATTCCCATATTTAACTAGACAGTCTGGCCTAACAGAGATGTGCGTAGATCAAAGACTAGCCCACGCTTACATTTACATGGAGAGCTTTTCTTTAAAAGTTCTATTATAGAAGCTATCCCATGAAACACCATCCAAAATCCATTTTAGCCAGAACTGTCTTTTAACACATTTAAACATCTGGTTATAGCAGCAGAGCTAAATATATATTCTATGAAGTATTTAACAAGCTAAGATGATGTGTGGCCAAACACATACATTTTTATAATAGATGAAGAATTTGTTTGCTAATCAGCATCACTATTAACTGTGCAAATATATTTTGTAGCAAATGAACCTTTTTCCCCTTCCCCATCAAGACAGATTTTAGGGGGCACCTGGGCGGCTCAGTCATTAAGCATCTGCCTTCAGCTCAGGTCATGATCCCAGGGTCCTAGGATTGAGCCCCTCATCAGGCTCCCTGCTCGGTGGGAAGCCTGCTTCTTCCTCTCCCACTCCCCCTGCTTGTGTTCCCTTTCTCCCTCTCTGTCAAATAAATAAATAAAATCTTTACCAAAAAAAAAAAAAAAAAAATTTAGGTTGCAGTTTTAAAACACTAAAACACCATTCAACCTTAAGTAACACTTACATAAACCTGAAATTCTTAAAAAGTCCATTGTCTATGTGTTTCCAGTGCTGTCTGACAGACTTACAGAAACTTCCCAACTGTTACATCAAACGTTTCCTATAAAATTGTATCTTAGAATTATTTCCATAGACTTTTCTCTAGTTAAAGACTTAATCTGTAACAGTACTTCTCACAACTTCTCAAAACTGTATAGAAGATCACTCCGTACTAAATTCACAAATCTCCAGAAAATGAAATTCAAGCAATTGAAAAAATGTGTATTTGTGTTACTCTACACATGAAAAATGTATGTGAACTTTACCCTGATTTCCTCAGGAAATTCTACTCTTTGGTCACATGCCATTTTCTAGTCAGTCCATTAATCTTCAGAGCTTACACACACAAACACACACACAGCACAAACAAAAGTCATAAAGCCGGAGTTCCAGGAAGAAGAGCCGGATGCCTGGATGTGCCTGCCCAGGAACAAGCCATACTCACCTGTCGGGGGAGTGGAAGAAACAACAGGGGGAGTTGGAGAAGTGAAGCCATCAGCAAGGGTCTGGGCCCCCCCAGCAGCAGCCTCTGGGGCGGTGGAGGAAGGGACAGTAGCAGGAACAAGAGGGGCAGGGGCGGATGCAGAAGTAGCAGGAAGGGGAGGAGGACCAGCAGAGCCAGCAGGGGCTGAGGGAAAGAGGAGTGAGAGGCAGAATTAATGAGGCAGACCCAGTAGGCAGGATTAGAAAAGGCATTAGAGAACCTAATGTTAAATATTCAGTGCTTAACACTAACCCAAGAATAGAAGGGAATGGTTAAAAAAAAAAAGAATGAAGCTTATATTAAAGGATTATTAGGTTTGCAGCAGATAATTCAAAATGCTCAGGGTAATGTACAGATTTTTTAATTCATTAAAAACAGCATTCTATTTTACCTGAAAGCTACTACTCTGGAAGAAAGATGTTCCCTTTATAATTTTTAGCATAGTATTTTGTAAATAGTATATAAAACTAAACATAATACATTAGGAAACAGTATTCCATTTTGACATATTCCAGACAAAAACATCTTATTAGGTTAAAAAAATTTTTTAGAAAAACATAAATCTTTTCATCCTTTTTAAAAAGATATTGTCTATTTGGTATCAGGGTGAGTAAGTTAAATACAAAAAAATTCTATCTCTAGGTCTTCTTTGTCATGCTTTTAAAACTAAAGTTTAGCTCTGATGTCTTCACATTAAACAAGGACATTTTTATGTTTCAGGGAAAAAAAGAAGGGGTAGCATTTCAAAGAGTATTAAGTTCCAAAAGTGCAGTAAATTTAACTCCCAAAACTTCTTCTGTATTTGTCCACTCCGTTGTTACCAACGTGATTCACACACTATGTCCAAGCACGTGCAACGTCGTAACACCAGCTGGCATCAAACATAGAAGGTACCAGGTACCCAGGGGTACATGAAACCTCAAAGCACCAACTGAGCCACTGCACCAAAGACACAAAGCCAAATAACAGAGAAGTCTGCAAGCATAAACTCAGAAATCGCTTCGTTAAAAATAACAAATGCTTAAAGCTTTCCCAACATTAATGGAGTCCTAAAGGGGAAAAAAATCCAGATTCTGAAGAAAACCCACTGTAATTAAACCAGAAGTAATTCAAAAAAGACAAAGATGAGGCACCATTCATGTGTTACCTGGAAAGACACTGGGAGGAGAGGGAGTGGGAACAGCGATGGGAACCCCCACGCTCCCGCTGCCGCTGTTCTCCCGACTGCTGCTCCGACTGCTCGGGTGGCTTCCTCCACTACTCCCACTGCTGCTGAAGAAAGGAGATCCACCGAACATGAGCATTTATATACACTAAGATGCCACCAGCATGTCCCAAAATTTTCTGAGATGAACACAGCTAAATAGAGATGATTCAAAAAACCCTCCACTTTGTGTATTAATTCGAGCAAAACAGGAAAAACACGGAGTTCAAGAAACTTGTTCTGACCACCTTTTAATAAGCATCTATGACAGAAACGGAAATTGAGAAAGAAGGAAGGCTTCTGTAGAAATATAAGAGGTAAGTGATAGGGCTCAACACATGAAAACCGTATTAGTTTTACTCTCCGAAGAAAATTGTTTATAATAAAAACACAGCTTTCCTGAACAGGTTGATTCTGTTTGTAATGACATCTTGTTGTACCATCCTGTATTACTGTTTTGTTATGTATAGTTTTTCATCTGTAAAGTTCCACCAAAAAACAACTTGTAATTTCCCACGTCTGGTCCAAAACTTTTTTTCAGGCCAAATGTAACTATTAATTTTGTAGAGAAGTTTTTATTTTAAGATGTCTGGTTTTTTTCTGGTTTTTGTTGTTGTTGTTTTGTTTTGGTTTTTTGTTTGTTTGTTTGTTTGTTTTTTCCATTTCCTGACCTCAAAGCTGCATCAGAACATGAGGAGAGAGAGGTGGATTCAGATGAGGTTTGGGGCAGTAGAGTGAGGAAAAGAACTTAGTGCTTGGAAAATGAGAGAGATTTAACTGAAGTAATCTAAACAAATTATGGTACTATGACCATCACATTTGCACTGAGGTAGAGAAAATACCTGTAAGTTCGATTTCTTTGATTCACAGAAGCTGTCCTCACAGGGCTCTGCTGCGAGGGAGCCATATTACGGGTTGGGCTAGGTACGTAATCATTTGGTACCACTGGAGGACGCACTGGCTCCAGTGTGCGATAGGGGGAGTGCCGCCTACAAAAAGAAGAGCGTATGTATCGTGTGATTAGCAAATTTCGGCACAATAAATTCAGAATTGCCAGTAGTGAAATACAATCTGTATTCAGAGACAGGAAAATGTTTTAACATAACCCCGCTACCGATTTCAGTCTCGAGTATCACTTCTCTGCCATGAGGGTTCTGATGACCATGGCTGTTCTTCAGTCCCAAACCTCATTTCCCTGAACTGATGCAATTTTGTTTGCTCATTCTCAGAGCAAAGAATGATTCTCCCAAGTAAGTCAGTGCTTCCCAAACTCTCTTCTCCCTTTTTTTGGGGGGGGAGGGGAGGAAGAGTTCAAATTATTTTAGTACCAGGTCAAAGTTTCCCAACTGCACTGCATGAATGCACTAATTATCTTCCTCACCCCTCTCTCCCTAACCAAAGAAACTCAAAGATCGGATAAATCAATCCATAACTGGGCTCCACAACCCCCACACTGAAGATCAGTAACAACTATAACAAGTTACTTCCCTTTCTATATAGTAAATACACAGAAACTGAACTATGTCCATACACAGAAATACACCAAGTTAATCTCCTCTCCTTCCGTTCTCACCTCACCTCCTCCTATTTTCACCTTGCTCTCTGTTACCTCTTATCTTCCTCAGAGGTCAACATTTTAAAAGGAGAGAAAAAGAAAAGACCATCTAAGTCTTTCTACCTTATTTAGACTGTAAAGCCCCAAAAGGCCTGGATTTTATTAAAACATTCCCTTCTTCTTCTCAAAATTTCCTTTAAAAGGAAGAGAATGAGGAAAGTAAGCAAAGCAGTCTGATCGGAAATAGGATGCACCATGGCACATTAGTGATTGCTAAGTTAGTTCCCATCCCTAAGTTTCTGAATTCTTTATGACAATGAAGAATACTCAACTGACATGAAACAGCATTTTGCAGATAAGATTCTGGTTTCTAAAAGAATCAAAACTGGAATTTCAAGATGTGAAAATTAAAAAGCTTTCTTTTCCTGAAATGATGTCGCTCACTCATAAAATTCTCAATAATTCACTCCCCGCAAAGTCCCAGGGTTCCTTTAAATACAGCTCTCCTGGGCTACTCAAGTTATGGTTCATTGATTTTGATTCATTATGGTTCACTGATCACTTTGCACTCACCCTGTTGACTCCAGCCTGTTCACTCCTCAAAATCTTGCATAATTACATGTATACATTAATAATTAAATATAAGTAAAGGGCAATAAATGAGATACTGGGTCCAAGGAAGAAAAAAGGAATGTCAGGAACTTGGATTTAAAATACTAAAAAGTTTAGCATCTCTGAAATTATAATTAAAAAAAAAAAAAAAAAAAAAACCTAAGACAGGAAACTGATTATTTCCAAACAACTGATTTCTAGACAATTTCCCCAGACAATAAAAATGTTCTGTTTCAATGGAAGAAAAAACCTTTGCTGACTGAGAACAATACAGTGAAGGCAATGATAAAAAACAAAGTAAAAAATTAGGGGCAAAAGAACAAAATATGATGGCTAGGCAAAGACTATGCAAAAAAGCCAGGCTGTGACTATCAACTGGCTTGTGGTGTTCAGCAACTCTGGTCTCCAAGATCCTGCAGAACCCTTGCCAATACACAAGGGAAACAAATTCTGGCATATGAATAAATCTTCAAAATTTGAGAGCAACACGAAGTTTTATTTTACTAGAGATGACAGTGGGTTACCCTGCGAACAATCTTGACTTAAAACCTAACAAAATCTGAAAAAGAAAAAAAAAACAAAAAACACCTAACAAAAGCTATTAGGCACTACAAATGATAAAAATGTAGACGTTCCATAGGAAAATAAATACTTCCTCTTCATCTCTCTACTCTTGCCTCTTCACAATTATACCCTATCATCTCAACATTCTACCCTGAAGTTTAAATCTTATTTGATCTACTGATTTTCTCTCTAATCTAAGCAGAATTTGTTTTGCTGATCCCAAATAAAATGATCTTATTTCTAGCTGGAATTCATTTTTATTCTTTTATTTCCCACTGTCCTAACTGTAACTCCTCTTCGAGAATTATCCTCCTTTACATTTTAACTCATCTTTGTACTGTCCTGACCCATGGTGCTTAATTAGGTTTTCTGTCATTTTCTTTCTCTTTTTTTTTTTTTTTTTGGTGAGGGGGCCAAAAACAACATCTCCAATTAAAAAAATTTTAAGAATATATCATAAAGCCAATGGTTGTCAAAGCATTTTGTCTTTGTCTTATACATTTTTTAAAAATCCAATTTGTGGTACAATGACGCTGAAAAGTTGATAGAGGACAAGTATTACCCCCTTTTACAGATGAAAAAACTGAATTGCAAAGAGGCGGACTATGCAAGACAGAAGAGCAGGAGCAGAGCTGGACCAGTCTTAGTCATCCGGCTTCTGGGATATATTATGTCCATCTGATCACAAATCTCCATGATAAAATTTTTTTAAGATTGATTTATTTAAGTAATCGCTATACCCATTGTGGGGCTGGAAATCCCAACCCTGAGACCAAGAGCTGCATGCTCTTCTGCTGGAGCCAGCCAGGCACGCCAGTAAATCAAATTTTTATACTATGATGCTACAGAAGAAAAATGCTAGAAGCTTTTACATTAATTGGCCATTTCTGCCCGAAGTTAAATCCAGAGCTCACTTCTGCTGGACTGAATTAAGCTTGATATTCTCATATCAACACAAGATATACGGAATTTTGTAAATCCACATGGTGCTTTTCACAAGAACAGTCTATTCTTTTGTCAAATGAATATGAAACAACTCTAAAATGTTTCAGAAATTAGAGTGCAATTTATAATAAACCATGAACTTGGGCTAGGATTTTACCTCAAATTCAAAATTCAGTAGAAAAATAACTTTTAAACAAAATATTTTTAAAGTATAAACATGCTTCCCAGAAAAAGGGAAAGTTACACACAAAAAAGTTAATGTTAGGAAGAAAATGTTCTTGTTTCAAATATTAAAAAATAGTTTAAATATAGGTAGTGTTTGGTTTTCAACAACACTACATGAAATGGTTTTCAATTATTATTTAGTTACATACTTACCCAAGTGTCCCCTTCCCTGACATGGGGGGACTGGGGGGTTTCTGAGTTGGAGGTGTCGTACGCGGCAGCCCACCCATCTTCATATTCTGGGTACTCACCTAAAAAAATTTTGAGGAACAATCAAAACTTGTACGTAGTGAAACAAAGTGTCACTTGTGGGAAATAACGTTATGCTATTTAACAAAGGAGGGTAAGGTTTAAAGAGGAAAAAAAAATTAGAGGCCATGCATTTCATATGCAATTACTACTCTACTATTATTCTACAGTTGTACTCAAAGGACTCTTCCTAACTTGAGATTTTCAAATGATTGTAAACTTATATGCAAAGACTGTATTTGCCATTAGGCCATCACACCAACAGATCACTGGTTAGATTACTCGATACTATATTTAATTGAAATTCAATAGGATAACTATAAGAACTTTAGTTCTAATAAAGAGAAACTCAAAAACGATGGCTTTAAATAACTCTTTTTAGATAGCAAGTATATTATTAAAAAAATACAGGTTTCCCAATAAAATATGCACTACAGTTTTGATCCCTTGTAACTAGAGAATATAAAATAATTAAAAGGTATGATATGCTGAAAAAATTTTCAGTTTTTAAAATAGTGGATCAGCCTTACAATTCAGATTTCTTTAATTGGTTCTCTTATGAAGGAATCACCCACCTGAAAACTGCCCGAAGTTAAGGCACACTCCTAAACCTCTGAACTAGAAAGTCAGGGCTGATGTATCCCATTCAATTATAAGCAATACAGGGGTCACAGACAATGCCCTAGTTCCACTGGGAATTAGACCCACTCAGATGCAAAATAAAGATTCTGGGAAAGATGTAACAGAGTCCTAAGTCAGAGCTGGGCCATGACTCCTCACTATTCTATATCTAACTGAAAATGCAAGGGTAGGAGACTAGTGTCATCTGGGAACAACTGATGCCACCGAAGAAGTAGATCAGCACTTACACCCAAAGCTCTAGAAATGTGCACGTCTTAAAGCGGTAATAGAAGTCATTCACAAATACAGTCTCAAACTGTTTGAAATTACCAGTGGGTCAGAGTAAGTGTTCAACAAATAGATTCATACCTGACCTTATTTCAAGCCCCTAATATTCTGGATTGCCAAATACTTAAAAAAAATTTTTTTTCTAATAAGAATATGTCTAGGGTGCCTGGGTGGCTCAGTGGGTTAGGCCTCTGTCTACAGCTCAGGTCATGATCTCAGGGTCCTGGGATCGAGTCCCGCATCGGGCTCTCTGCTCAGCAGGGAGCCTGCTTCCTCCTCTCTTTCTCTCTCTCTCTGCCTGCCTCTCTGCCTACTTGTGATCTCTCTCTGTCAAATAAATAAATAAAATCTTTAAAAAAAAAAAAAAAAAGAATATGTCTGGAGTATTCAAGTTATACTTATAAAATGAAACTGTAAGACACTACACCACTGAAATCAGGATACATTTATAATTGTATTTCAAAATATAAATTTTAAAACTCATAATTGTATGCAGAGTACTAAGGCTGTCAAAATTAATTCTGGCTTAAATGCAATTTGTAAAACTCCTAAAAGACTAGTTGTTATCTGAATAGACAAGAAATAATGTATCAAGAAACAAACTCTTCAAATGAATAGCCCAGTGAACAAGTTGTGTGTGATGTTAAAACAATCTTTAATGACAAATGATACCTTTGAGATGTCAATATTTTTAACATAAAACATTCATCTATAATCCTTTTGTTACTTTTAAACAAATACAACCAAACCGGTTATTAAGTAAGAATAAAGGTTAACTTATCCTTGTTCTTCCCCTCATTAAAAAGCAGAGGGTATGCTAATCATATCTTAAAATGAAAATGCCAGAAAATTTTTGAAAAAAATCAGTCCACATTTGGGGAAAATTTTAGGAGTAATATGACAAAAAACCAGTAGCTTTTCAAACTATAATCTTCATTTATGATACCAGAAGATTTTTTATAGTATAACCAAAGTCCTTTAAGCTCAACCTTAAACAATATAAAACCCAAAGTTACTTTAAGTGACGAGGGAGAAGTAGGTGAGCCACACTAAACTACATCAATTTGCTAGAAACGGGAAGGAAAAGGAGCAGGGACAGAAAAAGTAAAAGAGAATTTTATTCTATACATGGAATAGCTAAAATACTTAAAAACCACTTTCCAACTTTGATTCAAGGTTTTGGTATCTAAAGTGTTTTTATTTAAATTGCAGTATCTTCTAATCAATTAAAAAAATATAAAATAAACATTCTATAATAAGTTAAAATCTAATGGACGGTTCCATAAACAAAACTTGACACATTTTATGATCTGTAGGATCATCAAATGACTGTATCTGCTTGGTTAATGGGGTTTGGATACGTAACTTAAATCACTGAAGAAACAAAAAAAGGCCCTGCCTAGTGTCCAAAAAACTGTAATTTTATACATCACTGATACTGTACTCTTATATTAAGCTAAAAGAATTTTTCAATATTTCTTCAAGGTGGTCTTCCTTTGTGGAAAATGCTCCCAGGCTAAGTAAAACAATGGCTCTGCTCTGCAGAATATAAACACGGGGGCACCTAGGTGGCACAGTTGGTTGAGCACCCACTCCTGATTTCAGCTCAGGTCATGACTCTCAGGGTTGTGGGCCTTTGGGACTCTGTGCTCAGTGGGGAGTCTGCTTCTCTCTCCCCGCACCCGTCCCTTTCCCTCTGTTCCCACTCGCACTTGTGCTCTCTCTCAAATAAAGAAAGAAAGAAATCTTTAAAGAAATATAAATGCTGCTGCCGTCTAATGTAAGGAGAAGGGGAACGAACAGGAGTAACGGCCGGATAAAACTTAATTTATCACAGGTGGGCTCTGTGTTGTAATTAAAGAAAATATATTTCAAAAATAAAATCATTTGATAGAAAAAATTTACTGGAGAGCGATCATGGTTCTAAACATTATTCGGAGGGAAGTTTGTGGGGAGACAACATCTCACAAGCAGCAAAACACAGACTAAATTGTGTGTACGGGGAAGGGGACCTCCAGGGAGAGAGTCAAAAGATAGAGACAGACAAAGAGAACAGACCATCAACTCGGGACAAAGAAAGCAAAGCAAAACTGTACCCACTTTATAACAGCAATTCCACATGAAACTTTAAAACAAATTGTAAACATAAACAGAACGATCGCTTGGCATATAAACATGTAGTTAATGGTCCTGAAGCATGAGTGGGATTGCTCATACTTTTCAAGTTTTACTTGGGAATCAGAATGCAGTTTGGTGGCTGACTTCAACAATCACTCAATTACATGGGTATTTTTTAATTCCATAAAGGGGAAAGTCATCACTGAAAGCGAAGTAAAGCAGGTATTAAGTACAAGGAGGAAGAGTAGGAAACATCCCCCCTTTTTTTCCTACCAAAAAAAACCAAAAAAACCTCAAAGCAGAAGAAATATTTAAGTGATGAGGCTCAAATACTTTGCAACTGGACTGTGACTAAGGAATGCAGATAAAACTGGAGGGAGAGAAGTTCTTTATGTTCAAAGACTGGTCCTCTTTCCCAGGCTTTGGAGAGCTCTACAACTAGCACCAAGCATCAGGCCCATTCTCATGCCTTAATGTTTTTTCTATAATGCTCCTACCTTTCCTGCTCTATGCCCTTTTGGGACATTCAGTATCTCCTTGAATCTTGATACATCATAATATAATGCTCACTATAAACCGCAGCGCTCTCCGGTACCCTGAGAACTTCAGTGTTTTCATAAAGCGGGCTCGCCAGTATCTCTAGTTCACAAAGGACATCACTTCGGCTATGAAGAAATCTCCCCCTCACATATGTCCTGCTGTGACGGAATAGTGGCAGACTCATTCTAAAGTGATATCTGAAGTATATCCCTCATTTATCAACCACTTATCACCTACCAGACTACTAGGGACAAGGGTAAGGAATATGAAAACTAAGGGGGACATTTGGCGCTGGGGGCAGGGGGAGGTGGGATGGGACACAAAGGCCCATAAAATGATGCCTCTGCTTTTAAGGATTTTAAAGTACTTTGGAATAAAATATGACTCCTATGTTTTAAACAAAAAGGAATGTCTATAAATTATCTAGAAATCTCTAAAAAAGAAATATCAATACGAGAAGGAAAAACTACAGAAAGGTTCAGAGAAAAGTCTAAGCTGGACTTTTAAAAAAAAAAAAGCAAGTTTTAAATATACACAGAGGGGGTGCCTGGGTGGGTCAGTGGGTTAAGCCTTCGCTTTCGACTCAGGTCATGATCTCAGGATCCTGGGATCGAGCCCCGCATCGGGCTCTCTGCTCAGCAGGGAGCCTGCTTCCCCTCTCTCTCTCTGCCTGCCTCTCTGCCTACTTGTGATCTCTCTCTCTCTCTGTCAAATAAATCTTTAAATAAGGACATAAGAAAATAAATATACAGAGAGAAGAGGAGTACTACGGATAGCTGTATCTGGATGTGGAATAGTGAGGATGGGCAGAAGCTGTGGTCAAGCACCTCTGGGCCCTTCATTCACTGTCCAATATTATTCCCCACAGTCTTACCCAATACGTAATTTTTTGTCTTCCTATGGATCTCTATCCTTCTCCTCAGAGTAGATACATGTTCCTACTTCAATTCCCAGGGCTAGCAAGAAAAGGACTAGGAGAGGGGCACCTGGGTGGCTCAGTGGGCTAAGGCCTCTGCCTTCAGCTCAGATCATGATCCCAGGGTCCTGGGATCGAGCCCCGCATCATGATCTCTGCTCCGCAGGGAGTCCCCTTCCTCCTCTCTCTCTGCCTGCCTCTCTGTCTACTTGTGATCTCTGTCAAATAAATAAGTTCAACTTATTAAAAAAAAAAAAAAAAAAAGAAAGAAAGAAAAAAGAAAAGGACTAGGAGATCCTTCGAAGCTGTAATTAGGAGTTTGACCATAGCATGTTCTCACAGTGGTTCATGGTCCTTTTCATCTGAAATTTATGTTATTTTTTTTCTTTAGTTGACTGTGGAGAACATGCTATATAAAATGTTAAAAATTCAACTTTTAGTATGGAGAATTCTTCTGAGTCAAATCCCATGTGTCTGCCCTCAAAGTGTGATCTTTGTTTAGAGTCTGTCTGAAAAGGATCAGAAGTCTGACAGCAACAAGAGCAAACACAGAGTTCACGAAGAACTGAGGAAATCAAAGTAGCAGATAATTCTACCAACAAACATCAGGGGACCTTTAGAGCACTTGATATAATCTACAGGTCTCCAAGATCAGTTGGAAACCACTTAAACCACTAAACCACTGCAGCCCCTTCCAACTGTAACATTTTCTCTTTAAATCTATTTTCTACCTTAATGTATTAAATTACTCCATCAATCACCCTTCCAAAACCACTCCATATTTTAATACCAGAATAAAAAGAGAAATGATTTGTTATACACTGAACATCTTTTTCACTCTACTTTGTTTTGGTTCACCTGAAGTTATTAACCATGTGCTTGCTACAAGTTAACAGAGAAGACAGACATTCACAAAGCAGAGAGAAAGAAAAGACAGAGCACAGGTGCATTCTAGCTTCTAGGATGAATTCAGGGTACTCTTTTCACCAGGCAACTCTACCCAGATATTGCAGAAACACCTACATAAAGCCACAGTACTCAGGAGTGAAGCCTTGTGGTTGGTACAAGCAGCAAAGACTTGAAGGAGTCTTATACGAGTGTGATATTTCCTTTCTTTCTAGGGGCTTCTCTCATTTCCTGCTCATTTTGATCTATCTCCCGGATGGAACAGATTCTGAATCCAGGAAGGTCAAGAAGGAATCATAGTTGGGTTTGGAGGAAATGAGCATGGCAGAGTAGGATAAGCAAGCTGGTCTAAACTCAGAGGGGAAAAGAACTGGTCCATTTCTGTGTTTTTCCTTCAGGTAATCTTTCTGCGCACTTTTATCACTTTGGAAAAAAACACATCAATAGCTAAAACTTAAATACAATATTTACAGGAAAAGAGCTAAGGTAGTCACACACTGCTTTGGGTTAGTTCTTTGTATAAAATGCAGAAGGAGTAACCTCACAAATTCCACATGCCCCACTCACCAAGACTAAGGGCTTGGACCCAACATTCTACTTAGTAACACAAGAAGTTTATTTGCTTGACCCCTCTAGTCTCATCTCTCTACCAGGATCTGTTAAAATGTCTGTGGCCATGGCTGGTATTAGTAGCTAATGATTCAGATCCAGTTATCGTCTTGTTATCACTTTCTTTGAAGTCTTTGTCTTTGAAGACAAGGCAAATAACAGGGTTTTGAAAGAAAATGTATTTGAAAAGAAGTTATAAAGTTTAGCTAAGAAAAATAAGAACAAAAAGGAAATACATGCTAAGTTTGATGAAAATAATTTTAGTAACATTCTATTTAAATGCTTCTTGAATACACTTGAATGTCTCTTACCATTAATTCTCCAAAATACTAAAATGTGAAAAAACAAACAGACCCTAAAGTGTTACTAAAATAAATATTTCTAATTCTTAATGTGTATTTTGTTAAACACTCGTGAACTTTTGATGTTTTGATATAATTAATACTCAGCTAGTAAAACTCTTAAAGTGAGTTTATATTGAAATATATATCTTATATAGCAATTTGAAAAAGAGAAACTAATTTTGCTTCTTGCAGAATACATGATACTGCAACTTAAAAAAAAACCCATAACACTGAATATTTTCCACTTCTCAATTTCTTTACATTGACTAAGAGTCAAGAGATAATGACATACTGGCCACAAGGTGTATAGTAAAGCACACCATTTATAGAATAAAAAGGCTATTACACAGGGGGAGGGTTAAATAAAGCACATTAGTTGGCCCTCCAATCTGTAACATAGGTTTTACATTTACAAAAGTCCACCTAATTTTACTTACAATGAGATTTTATGATAGGGTAACATATTTTAGTTCCACAAAATATATTAACATTGCAAAATAAGCATTTATTCAAAAATATTTACTGAGCACCCAATGTCTGCATCAGGTACTGTTTTAGGCACACAAGACCGGGTGGTGAAGAAAACAGACAAAAAAAATCTGCCCTCACAGAACATGAAGACACACCACAAAGCTGCATGACAAAAATTTTTAAAAATTAAGAGGATTTGTTGATTTTAGAAGGCCAAGTGCCAAATATCTCTTCACTCCCCGTATGTAATATTCTACATAAGAACAAAGAATGGAAATCCAGCCCTGGAATCTCTTACCTTAAATCTAAGCAACCACTTAATGCATAAATGGAGCAAATAAAAGAGGTAAGGAAAAAAAGCATTGAAAGGTTAGTTGGAACTTCAGGATGTGAAGAGAAAGGAAAAAAACAAAGAAAAAACAAGTTAAGCATTCAGCATTAAAAAATAATGTTTCAGTAGATCATAGAAAGAGTGGTCAAAGCAGAATGTGTCATGAACAGGAGGGTTTTTTGATGAAATTATATGACATTGTTTTATTCAAAAACTTTATTAAAGATTTCTTCAAATTCGTGACCCCTAAACACTGAAAGTCCAAATAATAAAAAAGAGTACAGAATCCCAAAAGAATAACATTTTACTTGAATTAAGTAAGAACTGGAGTGGGAAGGAAATCATGTGTTTATTATGCAAGCGGACAAGCACAAATACGATGCTTTACATTCTAAGTGCCTATTGCGATCAGGTTCTGGCATTACCCTAAGATTTTCTATCAGCAGTTATTAGCCTTGAATAAATCTCAAATTATAAAATTTTAAATATTTTATAAAATTAAATATCAAACTCCAAATAATGCTTATATCAAAATTCTAAGAAAAAGACTTTTCTAAATTCACATTGTATGTTTTCTTTTACCTAGATCTACATTAAATTTACATTTAACCGATTTCTAGCCATAACAGTAGGCTATTTTTTCAGTTTCAATTTGCTTTTGTAGACATAAATCAACTGTATAAACCATACAGTTTCACACGTATATAAATATGTATTCAAAGTCACATTTGATAAGTCAATACCTTTCAAATCACTGGTTAAGATGAAAGCTTTAAGTAACTTAATACTTAGCGGAAGCTCCAAATAGTTACTTAAGTATAAATACCAATTTAAATGAAATTTATAGGCACCTCAGCTTTGATCATGGCAGTATACAGCAGACACTCCAAAACATTTTAAAAAATAGTCTATATATATAATGGCTGCATATTCAAAAGCAGTGGAAATATTAATTCACATGTTACTTTCATCTACACTATTCTCACCCAAAATATTTAGGCAAAATTATTTTAGAAAGATTCAAACTACATGGTTGTTTATACATGTTCCTTCTGAACACTAATGCCAAAGCTTTGCTGATAAATGTTTGAGATAAGGTACTTTAAGAACATGCTGAGGAAATTTTTAGTCATAGTAAATCATTACAAGATTAGAAAAATGATGCCATACTTATATGCCCGATCTATATAAGTTAGTCTCATAACCGATTAAGTAAATGCAATTTATTTAGAGAGGACTATTTAAAACTTGAAAACACAGCACTAAGAAGAAGCAAGAAAGATAAAATAGTTATAGTAGTAAGGAATCTTCAGAATCACAACTGGGCCAAAACTTGGGCTTCTAAGAAAAAAAAGACAAAAGCTTAATTTTCTAAAGAGTTAGTTCCATTACGGGCTACTGTTTTTAAAAGGTTGACAAAAATTATACTTACCTTTACTCCATGTCCAATATCATCTAGAATTGTATAGTCAATAGGTTTTCTAATATAACGAACTGGTCGTTCAAGATTGGCCGGAGCAATAATTTTATGTGTCCTTGAAGTGTTTTTATTGGTAGTCAAAATACCGATCTCTCTTCTTGCAACTTTCTCTTTATGAATATCAACAGTCTGCAAAACATAATATAAACACAACACAAAAATGTATAGCTCTATTACTCAGAAAAATAAAAATATAAATCCTCAGAGATTTAACATCATTATTCATATACTTAAACTCCACTGCTAAATTTTGTCCTTTTGGGACCTATTGGCTTTCTCCATTCTCATGCTAAAGCAAGGGTCGCAAATCATGGCTGGCACACCCAATCTGGCCCACAACCTGTTTTTTTACAACCTGAAGTTTTTGTTTTGTTTGGTTTTAACAACCCAGGAGTAGTGTTTACATGTTTTAGTGGTTCTTAAAAGTCAGAAAAAGATAATGTCATAACATGAAAATTATACAGAATTCAAATATCTGTTCCCATAAATAAAATTTTATTGGTCCATAGCTATTCTACTTGCATACATATTTTCACAGTACAGAGGCAGAGATGAGAAGTTAAAACAAAGACTGCATGGCCTGCAAAGCCTAAAATATTTATTAGCTGGGCCTTGACAGAAAAAGTGTGCCAACCCTTGGGTTAAAGCTAACTTTTCCCCAAACTCCATTAATATTTAAACTAACATAATGATTAAGAAAGCCCCAAGTATTAATTTGGTTACATTTTAAAATGACCTATTGGTATAATTTCCATAGGTGTTCAAATGCTTTTTTATTTACCAAAAAATAAGAGGCTTAAAATATACATACAATGTTAACAGTCACCTTTTTACCAAAACACTTAAGTTTGCTTAGATTTTAGCATGTCAAATATTTATAAAATATTTCATTAATTCATCCTATTTATGTTCACATAGGAAAAATGTGTTTTTTTACTTAGTCTTCTATTTGCTAATAGATGGTGACTTTCTGCACAAACACAGAACTAATACGCTTAAACAGCATTTTTTCAAACAGCAGGTTGTAATTTAGTGGAATATGAAGAGCAATGATTTTAAATAAAAAAGAACAGAAATACTAGACTGTATATACATATATTATTTTTTCCTGAAACATTTATTTATGTACATAACTATATATAGAGATATACAGATATACAGAATACATACAGAAATTGTGTATTGGATGCAATGTAAAATATATTTTTTACTGTGCGTTGCAGTCAAAAAAGTTGGAAAAAACCTCATTAAAATTGTTCATATCTCTCACACCACTCCTGGCTCAAGCAGCAATTAACAGACATTACTTCCTCCCCGACCCTACTTCACTTTCCCCTGTCCTAAAATAGAACCCGGTAATAACATAGAAATGAAAAGATGATAACCATTATGACAGTATTAACTACCACTTTAAGAAATCTGAAAACGGGGGCACATGGGTGGCTCAGGAGGTTAAGCATCTGCCTTTGGCTCAGGTCATGATCTCAGGGTCCTGGGATGGAGTCCCACATTGGGCTCTCTGCTAGGTGGGGAGTCTGCTTCTCCCTTTCACTCTCCCTCTGTGCTCTCTCAAATGAACAAATAAAATCTTAAAAAAAAAAAAAAAAAAAGAAAGAAAGAAAAAAGAAATAGACATCTGAAAGCGGGGCACCTGGGTGGCTCAGGAGGTTAAGCGTCTGCCTTAGTCTCAGGTCGTTAAGCGTCTGCCTTAGTCTCAGGTCATGATCCCAGGGTCCTGGGGTCAAGTCCCACATCGGAGTCCCTGCTCAGTGGAGAGCCTACTTTTTCCTTTGCCTGCCATTCCCCTGCTTGTGCTCTCTGACAAATAAATAAATAAAATCTTAAATTTAAAAAAAAAAAAAAAGAAAAGAAAAGAAAAGAAACCATAAGAATGCAAACCCAACTGTCCAGAGTAGAATTCTAAGTTTACTGCAAATTGAACCTTCAATTTTCAATTTCTTGTAGTGAAAATATTAACAAATTTCCGGACAATAAAAATGGGAAAGCGACTTTCCATATCTACATTAATACACAATTACATTTTATACTAAGCACATATTTTTTAACTGTTTGAAAAAACTGAGACTTTTTTAAAAAGCACTGAAAACATCTGATCATGCCTGGGGCCTAGAGGCACTTACATACTACTTCTGTGTTCACTTTATATACACACAAACACACATCCAAAACCCACAGATCACTACACTAAGGATAAAACAAAAACCAATATAGCAAAGGAAAAGAACTCAAAACTATAAACCTAATCTGGGCTCTTCCAGCTTCCTGGGAGGGAAGGCAAAGTGCAAACAATGAGTTTCAAGAAAATACATCCCTTCATCAGGAAGGATAATTTTCCCAGCACTAAACTTTTAAAAAGAATTGGCTGGAGGAATTCTGAAGAGAAAAATGTTGCTTCTTATATTAATTCTAAGTAAAAACTGAAGGCATGTTTAAAACATAATTCTTGACAGCATACATATCCATGGAAAATCAAAAGAATTTAGTTTGGTTATATAATATTCCTAGCTGTCTACTCTAAAATAATTCCTACATCTTCGAAAACGAGAGCAGCTTCTCAACAGCGATACTCTTAACATTTTGATAATTTTGTTGTTGTGGGAGGCTGTCCTGAGTATTGCGTGATGTGAACAAGTACCCCAGCAGACCTGCAGCACTTCCCGGAACCAAGCTCTGAGAACCAAAACTGTCTGACATTGCCAAATGTCCCCGTGGGGGTCAAGCTCCCTGCTCGAGAACCAGTGATGTCGAGGAAAGACAAATTCACTTGTCCTTACGTTACACCCTCTCAAATATCAATTGTTTCCAAACTTGTTACAAGAGTTGACTTGAGAGATTAATGTCTCTAGTGTCTGGCTACGGATAGATATTCGGTTTCATTCGCTTTTTAAAAACATCTACATAATAAAAGTAACAAATGGTTAAGATAACCAAAGAGCATAATTTGTATTCTTGCCATCTTACTACCACACTAGGCTGAACTGTAGGAGTTCTTATGAACAAAATCAAATATATATTCAGAAAATAGCTACGGTTTTATTTGGAGTCTGAATAACAGAGAACAACAAATCTAATCCATAAGGAAGGAGGAGAAAGTTTCGTCCATAACATTCTGAAATTTTCAGGAATCACCTACTTCAAATTTTTCAAAGCTTTCTCTTGGGGAAAATCGTACTCAAATTAGAGTAACAGAATGAACACTCCTCTCTCTATATCCAGCTACCATCCAGCCTCAGCACTCATCAACTCACAGCCAACTGCAAGTATTAAAAGAATTTTTGTAAAGCTCCTATGATGTTTTTAATTAGAAATATGGCTTCTCTGTTTTTCTTAAATCAAATTCATAGCTTTCACTAATCACCACTGCATTTGCCTTCATAATATTCTTTGACATTACAAAACTAGAATGCGTTAAAGTTAAATTTTGAAAGAACTAGTTCAACATTGATATTTAGGAAGAATTTTAATAGTAAGAAAAAAGTATTCCAAATTTGTCCTGGATTTCTGAAATAACTAGTTACATGACAATAAATTTATTCTTACTTAGCAGAGATCTCAGTAACAGCTCTTACCTGTGGCAAGTAAAATATGTGTTTAACACACAAAGATGACCAAAACTAATGCAAGTACACTTCTAACACTATTGTTTTTTGCTACCTGTTAACCAAAAACACACCAAGTAATATCACTGCAACTGTGTGGACTATTCTTACTGAAAGAGCCTTATTAATGTGTGTCTCTATCCTCCTCATTCCAACTGCCGGGTCTGATTTCACATGCTGCGGGCCTCCCCATGACATCTCAGCTCTGCAGTGCTAAACCCAAGGCCTCGAAAACACCTCTTACCACCTTGAGATAGTCATACCGGCTCCCAGCTCCCTTGTAAGCCTGAGACCCATTCTCACATCTCCTTCATGGATCCAAACACATACAGGCCACAACAGATATCGAGAAGGTACTCTATCAAGTACTTTGTTTTAGGATTATCCATGCGGTGTTGTGTCCCATTAACACAGATAATTGAGAGGTGACTGTACTGCACAAGTACCTCAGACCACAGACCATCAGTGTAGGAAAACATCTGCAAAGAGCTACAGTGGATTAACTCAACTAAGTTGAGTGTTCTCAAATGTTTCCTTTTTTTATTAGTAAGTTACTGTTTCAAATAAGTATTTAATCATTTAAATGACAAATATGCTTTAAATTATTCATGTCCCATAAAACAAATTAATTACTACTAAATGGTAATTTTCAGTTATTCATTTTTTAATAAAATGATATAAACTATACATAAGAAGTTAATTTAAGGGGTGCCTGGGTGGCTCAGTGGGTTAAAGCCTCTGCCTTCGGCCCGGGTCATGATCCCAGGGTTCTGGGATCGAGCCCCACATCAGGCTCTCTGCTCAGCGGAGAGCCTGCTTCCTCCTCTCTCTCTGCCTGCCTCTCTGCCTGCTTGTGATCTCTCCCTGTCAAATAAATAAATAAAATCTTAAAAAAAAAAAAGAAGTAAATTTAAGAACTTTATTAATCCTATTTTTTATGCATAATTACATACTGATAAACTTTAGTACAATTTCCTTAATTTAAAATTGAATTTTAGGGGTGCCTGGGTGGCTCAGTGGGTTAAAGCCTCTGCTTTCGGCTCAGGCCCTGATCCCAGGGTCCTGGGATCGAGCCCCACACTGGGCTCTCTCAGTGGGGAGCCTGCTTCCCCCTCTCTCTCTCTGCCTACTTGTGATCTCTGTCAAATAAATAAAATCTTTTAAAAAAATAAAAATAAAAATAATAAAAATAAAAATAAAAGTAAAAAAAAATAAATCTTTAAAAAAAAATCTGCCATTCTTGGGGCAGCTGGCTGGCTCACTCAGTGGAGCATGATCTCAGGATTGTAAGTGCGATCCCCACAATGGGTATAAGAGATTACTTAAAAATTAAAATAATAATAATAAAAATAATAAAATTGCCATCCTTAAAATACCTAAGGTAGTCCACATCAAGAACCTATCCTGATACTTCTGATGGTGAGTGTGGTATAAATTAGTATACTACTTAATGCTATATTATCCATTTACTACAAAAAAAGTCTGACACTAAATAGTTGTATTCTATCCTGTTTGATATTTAGAGAAGGAGTTATTACTCTGTTGTGTTGAAAACAAAACAACTATGTATGTTCCTAACACATCTTCAGGATACATAATTGGTAGAGTCAATGGAATTCCCATCCTCAGATTCTAATTCAGAATAATTTAGGAAATAATTGTTACATCAGAGTAATAGAAGGTTGAGGTCAGTGGGGCACAGATTGAGGTACACAGCAGTCAGCAGAACAGAAGGAAAAAAAACAAAAATTCATTTGTGAGAATCTCAAAAGAAAAAAGAATTCAAAATGGAAGATAGCTCAGAAATCATCTAACCAGTCCTACCATTTTACAGATGAGAAAACTGAAGTTCAAGTTGGTCAAATGTCAGGCAAGTCAGCAGAAGAACCAAAATAAAAACTCGATCCCTGACCCTCCCCATTCCCAAACCTATGGAGAAAGAGCTAGTTCACAGGAGGCTAAAAAGTGAGAAAGTTCTTACCAGGAGACAGGAAAAAGATACTACGCTAAGGAAAGAAATCAAATACCTCAGAGATCTGTTATCACCTAGTTGTCAACCAGCCTACCAAGACAACCCCTACAGAATAACTCTTGACCAATCAATCCAATAAACATGTAATCTTGTCTTTGACCTGACTGAACCTCCCTTTCTTTGCTTCTCTCCAAATTCTCAAAACCTAATATTTTTGCTCAAATTAAAAAAAAAAAAAATCTAGTCTCAAGGTATTTGTAAGAATTTCCTGGCTCCCTCTAAAAACATAATATTTTTTAAAAAGCATAAGAATAATAAAAAATGTAAGTATCAAACATTTGGAAAAAAAAACAGTATTTTAGAACAAGGGCTTGCAAGCTATAGCTTACAAGTCAAATCTGCCCTGACTGCTTTTATATCACCAGCTAAAAATAGTTTTTTACATTTTTAAATAGTTGTTTAAAAACATACACACAGGGTGCCTGGGTGGTGCAGTTGTTAAGCAACTGCCTTCGGTTCAGGTCATGATCCCAGGGTCCTGGGATCAAGCCCCGCATTAGGCTCCCTGCTTGGCAGGAGGCCTGCTTCTCCCTCTCCCACTCCCCAACCTTGTGTTCCCACTCTCGCAGTCTCTGTCAAATAAATAAATAAAATCTTTAAAAAAAAATACACACAGAGAGAATATGAGACTGATACCACATATCTGGCCCACAAAACCTAAAATATTGACTTCACAGAAAAAGCTTGCCAATCCTTGTACTTAGAGTATTTGCTGAGTATTTGCTTTGTAAACAGAAAACGTTTTCTCATACTATAAAATAATTTTTCAGTTCAAATTCATTTGACTTTTTAAAAAAGATTTTATTTATTTGACCGAGAAAGAGAGATCACAAATAGGCAGAGAGGCAGGCAGAGAGAAAGGGGGGAAGCAGGCTCCCCGCTAAGCAGAGAGCCGGACATGGGGCTTGATCCCAGGACCCCGAGTTCATGACCTGAGCAGAAGGCAGAGGCTTAGCCCACTGAGCCACCCAGGCGCCCCTCATTTAACTTTTAAAACAAAGGACTCTACCTATACATTAAACATAGCTGAAAAAATTTCAATCCTTAAAGCAAATAATAAAAAATATGTAATTTTTAAAAATTTACTGATTTCTTAGATATAGCCTCCATCACCCCATTTCTCTTATTCAACCTCTCACTCAACATACTATTTTGTATAGACTTAACAGGTGTCGGAGAGCTGCAGATAACCTCACCCATCCAGGGACTGTTCAACTCCAAATGAAGATGATTCAAAACAAATAAAAATATAAATAAATAAATAAATAAATAATTGTAAAAAAGAAGATTCAACATAGTCAGGGCTCTGACTCAGGCCCCTGTTATTTCTGATCTTCTAAATCTCTATCCACTTATCTTTCCCATTTTTCACTCATTCCATTAAAATATTTTAAAAGACCATACTAATTAGACTACTCATTATATGTAGATTTATGTGCTACTCAAAAATAAAATGTGCTCATTAATGAATACATAATAATTACAACTTAAGGTAGACTTACTCACCTTTCTCCTCAAGACTGCTACCTTCTCTACCAAAGTAGTACAGAATTATCAAAAAACAGATGATTATTGAGGAGCCTGGATGGCTCAGTCAGGAGAGCATCCGACTCTTGACCTCAGGGTCATGAGTTGGACCATGCCACACACTGCATATGGAGATTACGTAAAAAATAGATGATTATCTTTCACTGTCATTTGCTTACTGTCTACTACCTTCACAATCACTCCCATTTTCTCTTACAAATTAATAACAAGCTGTTCATCCTCTTTAGGAACTCTAATATATTAATTTTTCTTCTGTATTTGCACTTTTCTTCTTTCTTTTTTAGGTCCTTTGCTAAGACTTCAAACACACAAAAATTTTAAGACTTTCAAACTTCAAAATTCTCTATCAGATTAGCAATTTGTCAACATTCCTCCTATAGAAAACTAAGTTCATCTATTTCATCATTATTGTTTCCTCCAAGGGGTCTCTTCAGAATAAAATGTACATCTCATTCATTAAAACTCACCAATTCAAAAAAAACAAAACAACAAAAACAAAAACCTCATCAATTCTTTTGGGGTTTTGTTTTTTACTTTAAGAGACACAGCAATGCAACAAGCAGCAAATTATACAGTCTACAGAAGCTTAAATGGGGGTAGCATCTGGGTGGCTCAGTCAAGTCTTGATCAGGTTCATGAGTTCAAAGCCCTGCACTGAGCTCACACTGCGCAAGGAGCCTACTTTAAAAAAAAAAAAAAAAAAAGCGTAGGGGCACCTGGGTAACTCAGGCTGTTAAGCATCTGCCTTCAGCTTCAGGATCCTGGGATGGAGCCCCACATCAGGCTCTCTGCTCAGTCGCGAGTCTGCTTCTCCCTCTGACCCCACTCCCGTGCTTTCTCTCCCTCTCTCTCTCAAATAAATAAAATCTTTAAAAAAAAAAAAAAAAGTGTTTAGGGGTTCCTGGGTGGCTCAGTTGGTTAAGTGGCTGCCTTTGGCTCAGGTCATGATCCCAGGGGCCTGGAATCAAGTACCCCATCTGGCTCTTTGCTCAGCAGGGAGCCTGCTTCTCCCTCTGCCTGCCACTACCCCTGCTTGTGCTCTCTCGTCCTCTCTCTCTGTCAAATAAATAAAATCTTTAAAAAATAAATAAATGAAAGGTTACACGGAATATAAAGAAAATGTTACAGTAGTAAATTCATATTTAAGATTAAATTTAGTATTAAATAACAACAAATCCCTCTAAATTAGTCTGAAGGAACTTTCAAGTAACAGAAATAATATGAGTATCTGATTTGATTATCTGGACTATATTTTATTTAATTATACAAGTTAATTTTCAGACTTTGAAAAATTGTTTATTAATCAATTTCAGAAGAGTCCTAAACTCTTAAGATAAACAAAAAGAAAACATAATGTCCTTTTTTATAATGCACATCTTAAAACTTGTTATTCCAGAAGAGTTCTAATCATTTAGTTATAAAAGAGTGTTGAATACTACATCAAGGGATGCCTGGGTGGCTCAGTCAGTTAAGCTTCTGCCTTCAGTTCAAGTCATGATTCCAGGATCCTGGGATCAAGTCCCCACATGTGGCTCCTTGCTCAGCAGGGAGCCTGCTTCTCCCTCTGCCTGCCACTCCCCCTGTCTGTACTCTCTCTGACAAATAAATAAATAAATAATCTTCAAAATAAATGAATACTATATCAAGTCACTCAAAGAACAGTGCTGAACTAGAAAATTCCAAAGATCTCATCAAAGAGAAGTAGGCAGATCAAAACTTTATCTTTTTAATGTTTTTTAAAATTCATTTTGTAATTACAAATTCGCTTTTCAGTGAAGTATTTAAATGGCTCCAAAACATAAAAATGGATATGAAAGTAATGACATATACATGCAACATTATGCAGCCATTGAAAATGTTTATGAAGAGCTTTTAACACCATGGGAAGATGTCTGATAATCATGGGAAGATATCTGTTATCATAGTAAAAGAGTAAAATCCAAAATTCTATACATAATACAATCACAGCTACATTTTAAAAACTATAAGAAAAAAGTATTGGAACAAAGTAAAGCAAAGTAGTAAAGGTGAAAAGTTTGAACAGTAGAAAAAGGTTTTTTTTTCCATTTTATTGTTTCTATATATTATGAGAACAGATTTTAAAATGGAAAAAGTATAACATTAATTTTTTTAAGTTTTATATAAGGATAATTTCATAAGTTCACTTAGGTTAATATGTCCGTTATGTAGGTATGGTACCATCCTGGTAAACAAAAATCCTACCAGGAGCATATGTGCTGCCGAAGTGAGCACAAAAATCCTACCAAGAGAAAAAAAAAATTAAAGAAGTGATAAGGCTATCATATTAATGTCTTTTAAGAAAGATAAAGAAACATGAAATCTGGTAAAAGATGGAAGAAACCAGACAAATTTTTACCTCAATGCTGATTATTTTCATATGACTACTGAATTTTAATAGAAACCATTAAAATCTTCTTCCCTGTCAAAATCACAGAGAAGATAATCACTCCACAAAAAGAATAAAAAACAACATGATACAGAATTTGTATTTTCCAAATCATATGTGTGAGTAAATCACATAGTAAAGGCTGCCAGCATGATACAGACAGCTTATGTTTAACAAGTGTTCCTCAGAGGCAAAATAGAAAAACAGTGTTGTCTCACTTGTGAAATATGATTGATTGAAGATTCCATCCTTCGCAGCTGGGATGCCTGAATATCCAGCATCTGTAGGACATTGTTGGCCAAGGTATTTATCAGATAGGCAACACTTGCTAAGGACTGGGTGGTGTAGGCTTTGGTTTCTTCTAGAGCTCGCTGCTTATCTGCTGACTAAGGGGGGAAAAAAAATCATTAATTTAAAGATAATCCATTCTATCAATCTACTCTACAAAAATACTCACCAAAACCATTGTTTCCAAATCTACACACCCTAGTTAAAAAGGTTCTGAATGTTAATTATCATTATCATGTAAACCCAACAAGTACTGAATGAGTTGACTAACATTTTCATGTTGAATATGTACCTCTTTGTATAGATGCAAATAAAATCCTATATCCATTATTTTAAAAATGAGATCCAGTTGATATTTTGAGCAATGGCAGCTGTATATAGCTTCTCAAGATTACTGTTTGGAAAGGTAGCACTGATTTGAATATATAAATTCTGGCATCCATTTTCCTACTTTCCTGAATTTGTTCTTTCCTTCCCCTCTAAATATGAAATCTGTCTATAATGTAATATCTCATTAAGGTAATAATAATGACAAAACAATTATGATAATGAAAAGTAAAAATAACAAAGTAAACAAAAATGGGTACAATGCTGTAAATAATGAGAAATTAAAATAAAAATAATTAAAGGGGCGTCAGGGTGGCTCAGTCAGTTGGGCATCCTACTCTTGATTTTGGCTTGGATCATGGTCTCAGGGTCATGGGGTCAAGCCCCACATTGGGCGCCAAACTCAGTGCACAGTCTGCTGGGATCCTCTCTCTCCCCACCTCAACCTTCTTCTCCAATGCCAATAAATAAAATCTTTTTTTTAAATAAAATAATCAAAGAAATCTTTCTTTTCAAGCATTTTAAGTGTCACAACTCTGTAAGACATAAATTACTAAGTATGAAAACGGAGTGCACGGTTAAAAAGTGGTTAATTCATCATTTCCAAGGTCCCAAGGCAAAACAATGGTAAAGATATATATTCTATGCTGCTAAATGCAGGACACAATCTTACTGTCCCAGTTCTGGATAAAGACTGTGGTTCAGTAAAAAGCACACAAACTTTTGAACCAGAAATCTTTTATCTTCATGTAGGCTCTACTATTTACTACAACACATCAGTTTGGACAAGAGTAACAGTTTCTCAATTTCCTCAGTTACAAAGCAGAGGAAATAAATCTCCATATCAACCATTCTAAGTAGTGTGAACACCAAATAAGATAATGAATGTAAAACCACTTTCTAAAACTACAAATCCTTCTATGTAACAACTGTCATTATCTCTTTGAGTGGTCATTAACTGTTCAAAGTCCACCATGATCCACTCTTCTTTCCTATACAATAAAGGAATCAAAATTAACAACCCCATATATGTTTTTCCAGGGAGAGCAAAATTCTTTTGAAGAAGCAGCAGTCAACAAAATAATCAAATGATACCCAGTTTAATGTGCAAAGAGTTAAGGATAACTATATTAGCTTTTTTTCTTTTCTATTCTTTTCTAATCCGTAGTAATTTCACGCTCTTCAATACTTGAATTAACAACAGAGTTGAAACCAAATTTGGCTGAAGATAAATACTTCTTAGAAAACACGATAAAGACTTCTAGATTCTGGTTGTGCATTTAAGGAGCTTAGAAGTCACCATTCCATCCTAACAAGTGAAAAGCTCAACACAACAAAAAAATCAACGACTTTTCTTGAATTCATAGTAAAAGCAGCAAGTCATTAATTCTTTTCCGATATTACTCTAAATCAGAGTATTCACTATAGAGAATAATTCAGAACTGAAACAATTTATTTGACAATATACTTCCTTCAAAGGATCAAGAGGACAGATATTTGGGTAGATATAATTATTTCCAATGCACCCTTTTTTATATTCATGGTATCTGAGATTTTCTGAAAAGAAATATTATCACTTCATGCTCCACTTTTGTTCCTAGTCTATGTGTGAAATCACGGAGCTGACTGATCTGCATCAAAGATATGAAAGACCCTTTTTAAATAGGCTTTGTGTGTATCTACTTTTCTTTGGAAGATTGAGGACCCTGAAATGTAAAATGTATGAAGAAAACCTAAATAGAGGTGCTGTTTGTGGCTGACATAACACTGATATAAATCAACATAAAGTATGTATTCAGGGCATCACTGAAGTAACACAAAGGAACACTCCGAATTTTATAAACATATTGCTATAAACATATCAATCTTTAAAGTGGGCAATCCATTAAAATCCTGATGTATCTTCCTAATGGCAATTATGTCACAAAGTCATGAATATATAGAAGTCCTAAATATCAGCTGATGAGATTGAAACAAACAAACAGAAAACTTCAGATATCAAAGTATAGCTAACTCTTTCCTAAAAGGGTATACATTTATTTTACATCCACGTTTACTAAATAATTTGCCTCAGTCTAGAAAAACAAAGAAAGCACAACTCTCTGGTCATTATATGAGAAGAACAAGAATGTTTCTTGATTGCTTATAATCTGTCCTTTGACCAGGGAGCACATAGTGGATTTTGAAGTGCTTTATTTGGACTATATGTGGACTTAATATATTTTACTTAATAAAACTATACAGTTTCTTATGTATTAAAAGAAAAAAAATATTCCTGGAACCCTTGAGAGGAGAGGACACAGGTGATATGATCACTATAGAAATCCAAAAGAACTGAGAAAAAACCTCCTGGCCCTAATAAGAGATTACAATAAGATGGCAGGATACAAGGTTAACAGACAAAAGTCAATTGCTTTCCAGCAGTGAACAAGTGGAATTTGACATTAAAAACACAATATAATTTATATTAATAATAAAAAATATAAAACATGTAAGTATATATCTAATAAAATATGTGCAAGACTGGGACACCTTGGGGCGCCTGGGTGGCTCAGTTGGTTAAGCAACTGCCTTCGGCTCGGGTCATAATCCCGGAGTCCCTGGATCGAGTCCCACATCAGGCTCCCAGCCTGATACTCCCAGGGAGTATGCTTCTCCCTCTGACCTCTCCCCCTCATGCACGCGCGCTCTCTTTCTCTCAAATAAATAAATAAAATCTTTAAAAAAAAAAAAGATTGGGGCACCTGGGTAGCCCAGTTAGTTGTTTGCCTTTGGCTTGGGTCATGGTCCCAGGGTCCTAGGATTGAGGCCCACGCTGGGCTCCTTGTTCAGCAGGGAGTCTGCTCCTGCCTCTCCCTCTCCACACCCCCATCATGCTCTTGCGTGCTCTCTCTCTCAATAAATAAAATCTTTAGAAAAAATTTTTTTAAATATGTGCAAGATCTATATGAGGAACACAGCAAAACTCTGATGAACAGAATCATAGAACTCAGTAAACGGAAAAACAGTCTATGTATGGGTTGGAAGACTCAATATTGTCAAGCTGTCCATTCTTCCCAAACTGAAATATAGAGTCAATGCGATCCCAACCAAAATACCAGCAAATTATTTTATGTTTATCAACAAACTGATTCTAAAATGTATAAGGGGAGGCAAAAGACAGAATAGGCAATACAATATTAGAGAACAACAAAGTTGGAAGACGAACACTACTCAAGTTCAAGATTTACTCTATAGCTATAGTAATCAAGACAGTATGGTACTGGTGAAAGAATGGACAAAAAAGTTCCACGGAACAAAACAGAGAGCCAAGAAATAGACCCACATAAATACAGCCAATTGATCTTTAACAAAGGAACAAAGGCAATGCAATAGAGCAAAGATAGTCTTTTCAACAAATTGTGCTGGATATCTAAATACAAAAAAGAAAAGAAAAGAAAAGAAAAGAAAAGAAAAGAAAAGAAAAGAAAAGAAAAGAAAAGAAGAAAAGAAAAGAAAAGAAAAGAAAGAGAAAGAAAGAAAGGAAATAAAGTAAGAAAAGACTCTAGATACAGAGTTTATACTCTTCACAAAAACTAACTCAAAATGGATTACAGACATAAAAGTAAACTGGAAAATTATGAAACTCCTAGAACACAACAAAGGAGAAACTCCTAGAACATAACACCCATATCTGGGTGACCTTGGGTATGGCAATAACTTTTTAGATACAAAATCAAAGCCATGATCCATGAAAGAAATAATTCATAAGCTAGATTTCATTAAAAATAAAAACTTCTACTCTACAAAAGACAATGTCAAGAGAAATATTCAGGAAAAATAAGACAAGCCACAGACTGGAAGAAAATATCTACAGAAGACACATCTGACAAAGTACTGTTACCCAAAAAATATAAAGAACTCTTAAAAATCAACAACAGGAGGGGCGCCTGGGTGGCTCAGTGGGTTGAGCCGCTGCCTTCGGCTCAGGTCATGATCTCGGAGTCCTGGGATCGAGCCCCGCATCGGGCTCTCTGCTCAGCGGGGAGCCTGCTTCCTCCTCTCTCTCTGCCTGCCTCTCTGCCTGCTTGTGATCTCTCTATCAAATAAATAAATAAAATCTTTAAAAAAAAAAAAAAATCAACAACAGGAAAAAAATTTCATTAAAATATGAGCCAAAGACATTCACAAACACCTCATCATAGAAGATATACAGACCGCAAATAAGCACATGAAAAGATGCTGCATGTCATATGCCAACAGGGAATGCAAAATTGGTACAGCCACTTTGGAAGATAGTTGGTGGTTTCCTACAAAGCTAAAGATACTCTTACCAGATGATCCAGTAATCCAGCTCCTTGGTATTTACCCAAAGGAGATGGAAACTTCTGGGTACACAAAACCTATACATGAATATTTACAGTAGCTCTATTCATAACAGCCAAAACTTGGAAACAATCCAAGTCTGTCCTTCAGTAGATTAAATGAGTGAAAACTGCGGTATATCATACAATGGAAAACTACTCAAGAACTAAAAAGAAATGACTTATCAAGCCATGAAAAGACATGGAGGAACCGTACATGCATATTACTAAATCAAAAAAGATGAATCTGGGGATGCCTGGTGGCTCCGTCGGTTAAGCGGCTGCCTTCGGCTCAGGTCATGATTCCGGGGTCCTGGGATTGAGTCCCACATCAATTGCTCTGCAGGGAGCCTGCTTCTCCCTCTGCCTCTACCTGCCACTCTGCCTGCCTGTACTCTATCTAACAAATAAATAAATAAAATCTTAAA